GGTTGCTCTGTGAGCCTTTCTGAACATAAAATCCATTGCTCCAAGCGATACGAATGGTTTTCAAGACATGCACCCTCGGTGAATAAAACTGACATAAACCAGTTGTTTACAATCAAACAGAAGATGCTAAATAAGCAGGAAAGGAACGGGCACCAAATTTGATATTTTATTTTGAGATTAATACTGCATACACAAAAACAGCGTTTCAGGCTAGTTAGTAACCCATCATCAAGAGCAAGCAAAATACACACATCCTAGGCACCAAACATATAGCTTAGTAAGTCACTTCCGTCTCAGTTTTGACCCAGGATTTGATTTCTCAGTTATGAATAAATATTTAGTTAACTATATAACAAGTTGCTTCCTGTTGGTTTTATGCCATGTGTTGTGAAGTTGAACAGCTCACCAAAGCCCTGGTTATTGTCCCAAGTTACATTCAATAAAAGAACAGTAAACTGCGCTGAGTTTCCCCAACTGGGTTGGTAAAGTCACTGCCCAGAGTGAATAAATGTGTTGAGGTAACAAACTAAATACAACTTGCTTAAGTCATCTTGTCCAAAAGCTGGTGAGAAGGTAAAATTGGCAGAGCTCCTGTTCCAGATTGCTATCTAGTGAGTCCTTCTGTAAAGTACATGTGCGGACAGCAGGTGAGGGCTTTCCTGCCATGTCTCCCACATCTGCCCAGCTCGCTGATATCACTGAGGCTCAACCAAGAACCGCCACTTGGTTGAGGTGTTGTGCCTGAGCACGAGTTAGCCACATGGGGTGGGGTGGAGAAAGAGAAGGGTAAAAAGAGGAGAAGACTGCATGGAGCAGAGGAAGTCATGCTCCAGCAGCCTTTGACAGAACACAAAGTGCCACGTCAACAGATTATGTCCTGTCCTCAAAATCTCAGTTCTAATGTAAAGTAGTTACCTTAAAACCTGACCAAAAAATCTCAACCGTATCAAAATCCCAGATTGCAAATGTGGGCTCAGCTCAGTGAGGCAGCCACAGGAGAATCAGTAAAGCCACAGAAGGCTTATGTTGATTCTTTCTCCTGACCTATTTTTAGTATTTTTTCACAATAATGCAAATCTCAGTAAGCAGCCTTTCTTGCCTGGTGATGCAGATGTGCTCGCGCTGCCTTGTACTCACTGTGTATCATGATTAACTGATGATAGGAACTGGACAAAAACACATACTGTTGCCATGGATACTACCAAGATAATTTTAGGCTGCAATTGGTTTCGCAACATACACCGAATTAATTCTCATTTCAGAAGTGTTTGTTTTGAGAAGCTGATATCAACCAACAGGCAAAAGCAAACAAAACTGACAAAAGGGGGGGGGGGGGGAGAAACATTTGCTGCTTAAGAAAACCAAGGCCAATTAAAGTGTTGAATTCCTTGGCAAAGAGCAACATACCTCAGCTGTCATTGAACCCTGACATGAACAGGTTTAAGGCTGCTAGTTCTCGAGTTTGTGAACAAACCCAGACATGTTCTTCGTTGCTTTAAATGTAAGGCTCTATATTTTTCTTACAGGTTAATCTTGAAATATCTAGGCAAACCAGTTCTGAGTTTGGGTCCTTGGATCTATTAATGGCAGTAATCAATGGAGCCTTTCAGTCTTACGGTTAACATTCTAACAGTTGCAGTACGATTGTTCTGTAGCTTTTATTTGACTGTAAAACTGTAGAGGTCTCTCCACTTTACCACTCCTAGATTCTGCTTGGAACTGAAGACCTTATGCTTTCAAATTCCAAGCCCAAATCCTTTTTCTTGTGATTTGTGATATAAAATACAGTCACGGTGAATAGGATTTAACATCCAAAAGGGGGTTAGCCTGATAACGTCACATCTCAGTTCTATTCAGTTCAGCAAGTGAGGATGAGATCATATCCCACTGGATAGATACCAAAATCTAAATCATACACAGTATATCTTTACAGTCCAGTTGACACGAACGCACATTTCAAAACGTGCATCCGGTACTTCATGCTACATAATACCCAATAGTGACTTTGGAGGATAATTTAACAATAAATGAACCAATGTGGTGAACTGCAGCAGAAAAAGATCAGGAAAGCATCAGAATAGTGACTGTCATCCCTTGGTAACCAGTGATGGGCTCAACAAATAGACACTCTCTAGTAGTGTTACTAGCAGTCTTAAACACATTCATGTTAGGGTTGAGTGATAGCTGATTTCTGCTGTCTTTTGCCATAAAAATTCCCACAGACGAAGTGGAATTCCTAACAGAATAACCTCAAAACAAGCGTTTCTAAATTGAAATATTTCAGAACTTTGTAACTAATGTTGAATCGTCTGGAAAGTAGCCTAATGTTTTCAATGCAAAGTACATTGCAATGTTTATGGTTCAATAGCAGGACTTGGAACAAGGGAACACAAGATGGAGTACAGGAACCTGTTGGAGAATTCCTGCAAAACGTGCACAAACCACTACAGCAGGCATAAAACCATACTAGGTGCAACTTCCAACTTAGCAATGGGTTTACATTTGCTTAAAAATAATACATATCATGCAATGTGAATAAATAATATAATTAGGCTATAAAGTCTCATGGTTACAAACATGCAAGAAATGCAATTAGAAATACCAGTAAAATAAGAGAAGTAACCACAAGGTCTATATTTCCCCTCACCCTCCCATCAAAAACAGCTTAAAAAAAAGTTTATAAGGCAGTGTATATAAAAAAAGACATGTGTCAGGTATTCCTGAAATAGTGCTCACAGAGGCTTAAGCACTGGAAAAGAATGCCATGAGTAAACTGTATGCACCACGTACAAAATCTCAAGAGTATCTGTCACGTCTGAGGACAACTGTATAAAGCATCAGCGGCACTGAGGAAGTGCACTTTGTCAGACCTGCTGAAATGTACTGCCTAACAGACTCTGTTTAGTGAGGAATCAATGAGATCACAAAACCGACTCCCCTCAAATTTACTGACAATATCAGTAAATCGGAGACTATCATGACAAAACTTTCTGAATTAAAACAATAGTATTAAGTAAATGACCTTTGCAGAGTGAAAATTTGATCTTTGATAAGCAGTATAAACAAGGCAAACTTTGTAACAGAGCCAGAGAGCTTGCGGTCTAGTTGCCATTTACCTGGTTAATAAAAATAGTTAGAAATGAAAGGCTTTAGGGGGAAGATTACTTCAAAGTAAAAATGAAGCACGTGGCACAACATAATAGAATCACACACGTCAGGCATTCAGCATCATTATTCAATGAGAGGTTCTGAAAACAGGCCACACCAAAATTAATACAATAACAGTCTGACAGCTGTTAACCTCAACAATACACTTGATCCTCTTATTGGGTCATCTGTGCATTTAGATTCTACAGCTGTATTTTCCACGAGCTCTATACCCACCTCTCCAAACACACGCACACACACACACTAGGAAATCAATCAAAATCACCAAATTAGTAATATAGATTCAGGAGATCTGAATTGTGCTGCTGGTAAAGGTTAACATAGCGATCAGAACTGCATATACTGTATGTGGGTATAATCCAATTGGACGGCTCAGGTAACAAACCACGAGAGGGAAACCTGAGCAGCTTATTTACTGTCAACAACTCGCCCCATCATGGATTACTATCTAATTCACTGACACATCTATACTAATTCACATCAGATGAAGTATATATTTTTTCCAGCCTTTATTTTCATATTCACTTTCATACTTTATCAACCAGGTGATTCAATGTAAATGCCACAAGCACTGGACTGCAAAGAGCGTGGTATTTAAATATTGATAAAATGGGGAGGGGAAGAGGATGAAAAAAATATTTTGTTTTGAATGTTTCTGGTTTTAAACTGTGTTTTGACGTAAAATTGATATAAAAAAATTCCTTCACCGACATAAAATCTTTGAGGAAAGATTTTAGAGATTATGGAATTTGGAAGGAAATGGCCTCTGGATTAAGGCGATCATTAAGGAGATATTTATTTCTGGACCTAATAAAAATAAATATGATATTGATAGATTTGAGTTAGATTAAGCAATAATAAGATACATTGCTTTGCAGTATCCACATATATCAAACTTAAAGCAGTTTAAGCAGATACAGTTTACACAACTCATATTTAAACAAATTGTTTTTTGCAGCAATGTTTCAATGGAGGACATATTTGGGCAACATGAAGAATTTACAGTTGAAACATGCTGGAACCAGGCAGCACTGTGCCAGTAGATTGAAGTACACAGCTGCGATTGCTAGTATTCTGGCATAAAGGAGGCCTTTTCTTCATTTGATAAACCTACACCTCAAAATATTTTGTTAGGTTACAGCACACAGAGGACTCGCAAAGAATTCCTCTCCAGAATTTTCCCAAATGTTGAATGCCATTCTTGCCATTCACCATGAAAGATTTTAGCTAATACAGCACTAACTGTAGTAATAAAGAAGTTAGCACAGCCCTCACTGAAACTAATTTTGGTTACATACTCAATTAAAAATATGTGAAACTCGCAGCTTGACAAGAGTATGACTGATTCACATGTTATGGGTCGCCATTTCTCAAAACAAATGTGTTGTGAGAAGCCCAGAGAAGGATCAGTCTTCAAAAAATTAATCACTGGTCCCATGAACTTAGGACATGAGGAAAATAATTCTACCCGTCCTAGAGTGAGTGAGGTTAAAAATACTGTAACATTTTCTATTAACTCCTGACAATACAACAGACTCAACTCAACAGACACAAAACACATTCACATATCACAGCTCTGACAAGCAAGAATATCAAATTCTCTAAACACAGCACCAAATGGAAGAGACAGTAAGGTCCTGAATGTGTGAAAAAACTATTTTCTGCCCTCTGTCAAAATGGAAAGAATGGATCCATTTTGCATTTTGACGGGAGCCACTGTGCAGCAAGAAACCACTGCAGATCAATTTGAAGAGATAAGGCACTAGATAGTCTGCAATTTACCTGTTGAGCAGTATAAGGCACTAAATGGTAAACTGCATTTTCTATTACAGGCAGTCAACACGAGGGGAAACTTACAACTTTCATACGGTTGCACACAAACATAACTCGGAAGGATTTAACAGCAGAAATGAAAATTCCCAAGACAAATGAAAACCAGAAAAGGTTAACTGCTCCTTTGAACACGTATTTCACTTGTGATTCTACAAGAACCAGGTGAAGATTATTGTGATTAACTAATATCCAATCTTGATGCCAACTACTGAAACCGCATTTGGCATCAGGTTAAAAAAATAATGAATTGGGAGAAATGACAGCATTATATGTATTATATATATATATACACACACACAATGCAGTAAATAATCCAGTACCATGTGGCAAAACTAGCCTGGGCATATCATCCCACTCAGTGCCGTTTGCCCAGTACTGTCAGAGATTGGACTCTGTATCTGGAGCTTTACAAAGGCAGATGGAACTACTGGAGCAACCAACTTGTTAAAAATACTCCTGGCCACACGTTCGGTAGCGTCCATTTTTCTAAATGGTATTGCTGAGGAAAGATTGTGTCACAGGAGGTAGTGAATGAGCTGTAGCACAAGCCATGCAATCTAGAGTTTGAAATTGCTGTCGTGCAGGAGTGTTTGTCGTGCCAAGCACAACAAATCACAGACCGCAAACAAAGACAGTAAGATCTTTTGCAAAACATTTCACTGTGGTGAAGCTTCTTCTTTGGTAATGCAATTGGAAATGTGTAACTTCTGCAATAGAAGGTTAGGTACAAAAATAAGAGTAATGCAACAAAACCATGTAAGTTGGGGGTGGGTATTTAAAGCCAATTTGACTCGGGAAGGATTCATCATTTTGGTAGAATACACGAATACTCTTCTGGTAGCCATCCATCTTTCTAAATGACGTTTCTTGCGTCCTCAAATACTGACTATTGCCACTCATCAATAAAGCTTATGCAGGTGTCTTTGGATTGAATGGTTGATAAAAAGATTAGTTTGGCAGATGCACCCCCAAGCTTGGCAAAACAATCCCACTGCTTAATTGACATCTCAACACAGAATACTCCACCCCCTCCAGTTCTTTGGTGTGATTTGTCTAAAAAAAAAACATTCTCCCTGAATGTAACACTGTTATCTGATCTCCAGTAAGTATCATCAGTTGGTCTGACCCTTTGCTCGCTGGTTATTGCCGACAGTTCAGAAGGAATTGTGGTGGAAATGTTTCAAAGTCCAGCTTGGAATAACCCACTAAGGTGATCTGCCTTCTCATGGCCTCTGTGACAGTCACTATCACGCCAAATGGCCACTGGTTCCCGCAGGAAGACCAGGATTACTGTGATATTATCCCTCGAGCCATTTTCTTTTGCCGCTTCTACAAGTTTTTTTGCAATTTCACTGCCATCACCTGCACTCTCCTGTAAGTGCTCTCGCACAAGGTCCACGACCTTAGAAGGTTCAACTGTATCAAAGAAGCCATCACAGCCAAGAACAATATAGTCCTCTGTGCCATCCAATGTGAATGAAGCACTGTCTGCATCCCCCGAAATGTAAGGTTTTTGATCAATGTCCCCTGGAAATCAAACAGGAAAATTGTCATGAGTTAGCACCACAAAAATAGGCAAAATCAGTTAAAAACATTTACAGTTTAAGTACAGTCCACAGTATCTGAAAATTGCAACTTCACTTTTGAACATTTTTATGTACTCCACACAGAGGACTTAGGATCTTTACACGTAGGATCTTTACCATCGATAGTTGATAAAGACCCTAACTGGAGAATACAGGCAATCTGCCGCTCAGTTCCCAGCAGAGGGCTACAGAACACACAAACATCGAAAATACAGAACTAATTTGATACAAAGAAATCTCAGTCAGAGAAATTATGAATTAAATAATAAATGATCATTACATTTGGTAGCACTTTTCACAACATCCTGGATATGCTTTATGGGGTACTGGAGGATGACTTCTATTTCAGAGTTGTGCTGTCTATACATAATCAATAGTACTCAATAGTAACCTGCACAGCTTCCCTGATGGCTCACTTGATAATCACAATCTTCTGACCCAGAGGCAACAGTGCTACCAACTGAGCCGGGCAGATGTCCAGCTCCACTTCCATCACCTCTCCTTTCAATATACACTTTATTGCAGGAATTTTCGCTAATATCAAACCCAGGTCAAAAGTGTGACACTCCATAATAATAATAATCCTTGCATTTGATATAGCGCTTTTCACGTCGGGAGGGCGTCCCAAAGCGCTTCACAGAACACACTGTAAAGTGAATTGATTGTATATTTGTGGGCGAACGCGGCAGCCAATTGCGCACAGCAATGTCCCACAAACAGTCGTAGATTGAAAATGACCAATTTATTATTGTTTTTGGTTTTGGAGGGATTATTATTAGGCTCTGTGTGGAGTAAGGAAACTTGCCCAAGGTTTCGCCCTCTGCCTGGAATTGAACTCAGGTCTCTCGCTTGCAAAGCGAATGCTCTAACCACTGAGTTACTGGACTCCACCATATCCATAGCTGGCAGAACATAGTGTTTACCCATTGAGATTTACTCAAAAATTACAAATAAAATCAAGTTTCACAAACTAACAGAGAAAAATTGCATTTTGTCTTCTAAATTAATTGAAATACAATATAAGTAAGGGACTTGGGCTAAATTCTAATCAAGAGTCATCTTCTAAAATATGGGAGGGCCGTCACATTCATTTGATCCTGTAGGATGGTCAATTGTTGTTTAGAATTAATCCTTTACATAAACTACAGATGCTATGTTCCTGCAGTGAGATCAGACCCATGCTTACCAATTGCTCTGGATACAGCAAGAGTCCCGTTCACCCGCCAACAATCCAGAAACGCCACACAACCACCAAGCTCTTTAATTCGCTGCTTCTCATCCTAAAACAAAAAATTTTAAACAAAGAAAAATAATTCCAACAAAATTCACTTAGAAACAGTTCAAGAATTCATCTGTCGTAATCAATCTATTGAAGACAGTAGGTGATGAGGGTTGCATGTTCACTGGGAGCACTTGAAATACATGAAACAGCACATCTATGCATCTCAACATCATCAGGTCTGAGACTCAGAAACATGCATGTGTTTTGTTTTGGGGGCAGAAAATATGGTTAAGATTGGTTACCCAGAGAAATAGAAATAATCAAAAGTATTTAATTATGCTTCAAAAAGATGATTCAAGTGTGTTTGCAATAAAGGACAGAGAGGTCTGTCTCTCCATACGAGATCTCTCTGTAACATAATACAGCATGCCTCGGTACCTTAGCATCTGCAATCTTGATGAAGGTGGAGAGTTGCAGTTTTTGAACAAGAGAGAAAGTGTCCCTAAAGGTAATCACGAATATAATAATAATAATAATAATAATCCTTGCATTTGATATAGCGCTTTTCACGTCAGGAGGACGTCCCAAAGCGCTTCACAGAACACACTGTAAAGTGAATTGACTGTATATTTGTGGGCGAACGCGGCAGCCAATTGCGCACAGCAATGTCCCACAAACAGTCGTAGATTGAAAATGACCAATTTATTATTGTTTTTTTTTTTTTTTTTTTTGGAGGGATTATTATTAGGCGTGTGGAGTAAGGAAACTTGCCCAAGGTTTCGCCCTGCCTGGAATTGAACTCAGGTCTCCCACTTGCAAAGCGAGTGCTCTAACCACTGAGCTACAGGACTCCACGCAAGTGCATACTGTGAATTCCAATCACATTAAATTATCAGGGTTTTTGTGCATCGCTGATCTGCACACAACTGCTAGAAAGCCTACTTTTTGTCCAGCTAATAACCTGTACATGAAGATCCAAATCAACTGTGGTCTATCCACATGCACCAGAGAAGTTAAATATGTTTAACCTTTGCCTCTTATGTTCACACAACATTTGCCTGTGATGGGTCACCTACCTCTCGCTCTGGCTTGTGTGGGTCCATAAGGGTCATGACCTCTCCCTTGCGCACCATCATCACCTGAGAGTCCCCCAGCCAAGCCACGTGCAGGGAATCACCAACCACTAAGGCGGAGACACCAGTTGTGCCACTGCGTAGCCTCTATGAAATACACAGAGAGCCAGTTAGAGAGATCTACAGCATTCGAAAACAGAAAGTTCCTGGATGGTGATTGTCTACAGAAAACAGTCACTACACTCTACAGTAATTCCTGTGAAGTGTTTTGAGACCTCCTCACAAAGTAATGGGTGCTATTTTGAATACAAGGATCATTATTATTAATATCTATTCCATATTGATAATCTTCATCACATACCCCCAGTAACTAATGCTAAGGTCTGGTCAGCCCATTTCTAGTCGAGCACACTCTAATCTACCAGGCAGGTTTCACAATAACAGCCTGATAACTCGAGCAACCTTTGTACTTTCCCACATTGTTTACAGTGACACTAAATTTAAAAAAGGTTAGTTTTGTACTTATAATCAAATACAGACCAGACATGCCTGCAGAATTATATTTTCTATTCTGTAGGGTTCCATTTTTGGGTTAATTTGGTATGTCACATTGTATAAATAGCTTCTCTTAATAAATATGGGGCAAATACAGAAAAGTAAACATACAAAATAGTTATATTGACTTCAGGGCCAGTTTTTTTTCAATGAGTGCTGCGTGTGTGTGAGTGTGCGTGGAGGGGAAGCAGCATGATGTTGGCTGATCTACCTGCTCTGGTAGAGTGGGAACACCTAGCGCGGCTTGGGTGGCAACCAGCAAGGTAGCAGTAGCTCACCACCTCTCTAAGGTGGTCTCTGGAGAGCTGATCTGCAGAGGGCTTTGCAAATAACAGGACGCATCAGCAGCCTCCAACCAAAGGGCCAGCTGGTCACCCAGAGAAGCTCCCTTTCACAGTGGAACAATCCAACCCCTTTCTCGGGAGCAAACAGTGGAAGTGTCCAGGGAAGGAATTACTGGCTCATATAAAAGGTATATTTTGGAAGTAAGCTGAGGAGTAGGTGGTGATATATGTCCCACCATCAGTGCTCTCTCTTACATGGATTTATTGTGTTAGTTATTAACTAAACATTAGGTTTTGGTTTAAACAATGTCGGTATTTAATTATCAGCCCCCAGGACCTGCTACAGGTGCTTTACTGAACAAAATATTGTGCACCTTCATGCGCACCAACATCCACAAAACCTTCCCTAAGGATCTATTATTGAGGAAATTCCTTCACTGCCCTATTCAGAAACCCACTGAGCCTGCAGCATTGTACAACAACAACTTACATTTATAGCACCTTCACACTCTGTCTCGGAGCCCTGACAGCGAAGCTTCTCTTCATCTACCATTTCCATGTTGATGCTGAATTGAGGATGAATCCCACCTGAAATGCTGTGCGATGGTAAGCCAGTTGGCATTATTCCTCCCTTCAAACCCAGTTTATAACCTATACAACTCACCTCTCTCTTCGCTCTCTGAAGGAACATCTCATCAGTTTGTTTGAAAGCCTTCCTCAACGCCTCAGCTGGCTGTGCCAGCAACAGTTCCTGACGTGCAAGCTTGACATGAAGATGTGTTGCAGCATAACCTGCTGCATCTACTCCACAATGTCCATCAAACACAGCGAAATAAGCTCTCTCTTCCTTATCCTTGGGAGAACAGAGGAAACAGCACAAGTTCAGTTTACTCATAGTAATAGGAACAGCAACTTGCATTTGTATAGCACCCTTCACGCAGGGTAGCGTCCCGGATCGCTGTCCCCATGTCCCGGGTCTGACGTGGAGCCAGAGGTAGAGGAATAGTTAGGTGACCATAAACATGGGCAAAAAGAAGGTTTTTAGGTGGGATTTGAAGGTGGGGAGGGAGGGGGCAGAAAGGAAGGAATTGGGAATATGATTTTTTCGTTTATTTTCCCTTATATTCATTAGTTCAGGGACATCTTAGATTTGCAACAGAAATTATTCCCAAGTACCAATCTACAGGGCACTTACTTACAACAAACCAAAGTGAATTGGTTTGTCGCTCAGGTAATCTATTTTTGTACTGCTAGATGTCTGAATTCTGCGTATTTAATTGCGCCTTTGTCTCCACGAGCGGCTTCTCCTCCAACCCCCACACTGTTCCGCACGGCGTTCCTCAGGGCTCTGTCTTTGGTTCCTTCCTTTTTAACATACATGCTCCCCCTTGGTGACATCATCCGGAGACATGGGAATCAAATTCCACATGTATGCGGATGACACCCAACTCTATCTCTCTGCCTCCACCCTTGACTCCAGGTTCACTGCTGTCCTGACAGAATGACTGTCAGACATCAAGTCCTGGATGAGAGCTAACTTTCTACAATTGAATATCTACAAGTCTGAGTCTCTCCTGATTGTCTCCCATCAGGGCCTCCACACCTTAGGCACTGACAGCATCACCATCCAAGGGTGCACACTCCACCTCACTGAGCTAGTTCAGAACCTTGGGGTCTTGTTTGACCCTCAACTGTCCTTTCTACCCCACATCTGTGCCATGTCCCGCTCTGCCTTCCCCCACCTCCAAAACATCGCCCGGCTCCACCACTGCCTCTCCCCTCAGGCCACTGAAACCCTCATCCACTCAATCATCGCATCCAGGCTTGATCCAGGCTAACTAACTACTAGTCAACCTTCCCAACTCTTCCCTCCACAAGCTGCAGATTATTCAGAACTCTGCAGCCTGTGTCCTCTCCAGCAACAAGCTCCATGACCCTATCACTGTGACCTGCTAATTCTATATAGACCACTCCGCTCAGTGGGCTCCGGCCTGCTCCACGTCCCCCCGACCCACACATCATTGGCAGTCAGGCCTTCAGCCTCTCTGCCCCTACCCTTTGGAACTCCATTCCACATTCCCTTTGCCTTGCCTCCTTCAAGACCCTCATCTTCGCCTAGATACTCCTACGACTACCCGCCACCCCTCCTGATCCCAACTCGGGTCCAAATCTCTGACAGTCGAGTGCCTTGGACATCCTCCCAACATGAAAGGCTCTATACAAATGTAATTTGTTGTTATTGAATCCAACAACTTGGTCGAAAAAAGTAGAAATCAGCAATTTACACCTTCATCTCACCCTAACTAATGGAATTAAATATTTTGTGCAGGTCTGCACAATTATCGATATAATAATCTATTTCCACAGTAATGAAGTTGTGCTGAGTCACATACTTTTCCAATAACTGATTTTCTTTCAGCCAAGAAAATATCGCAATGACCCCTAGTGGTGAAAGTGAAGCATTAAAAGGTATCTTCCTCGCCCATGTTCCATTTCTTTTGGTCAGTGGGTACAGGAGATGTGGAAACTCATCACCATGTTTGTTTCCAAACGAAAACAGAGTTCAGTGCATCCCTGCTATGCATGGATGTTCCCACACGTTGGAATGGAATGCTCTCTCTCGCTCTCTCCCCCTCGGAGACGCATCCTGTTTACTTAATACTGGAGAGTATTAGGCAAAGGCTGGCAAGAGCCAAAGGGTACTGCTGAAATTTAACCAGATAAACCCCGAATATATTACAAAATCAGAATAAAGCCTCCTCTTCATTTTTGTATGGCTGTTACATCAATGCTTGAGGTGATCAGCACCTTGGGACGTCCTCCCGACGTGAAAAGCGCTATACGAATGTAATTTTGTTGTTGTTGTTGAGAAGGAATAACGGGAGCCAAGCAGGAGACCCTCTGTTAACATTCAATTGGACAAAGTTAACTCATTCAGGAACTGGAATTGAGGGTGTAGGGAGAGATTGAATTGGGTGTCATCTGCACGAAGGATACAGCCCTGAGGAACGCTGCAGTGAAGGAGAAGCTGTTGGCAGATGCAAAATGGAGATGTTGGGATAGGTAAGAATAGAGGGAGTAAAAGGACAGAATCATGAAGATGGAGCTGAAAGGAAAGGTGTAGAGAAGGATAGCGTGGTTGACAGTGAAGGCGGTAGAAGGACAAGGTCAAGAGTTCATTAGAATGTACAGCACAGAAACAGGCCGTTCAGCCCACAACAACAACAACAACAACAAGATTCCATTTATAAAGCGCCTTTCACGTCAGGAGGACGTCCCAAGGCGCTGCACAGTTGGGTCATGACCCGAGCAGGGGGGAAATGGTCAGGGTGAGGGGAGGGAGGGAGCGAGGAGGGGGGAAATGGTCAGGGGAGGGGAGGGGAGGGAGGGAGCAAGGAGGGGGGAAATGGTCAGGGTGAGGGGAGGGAAGGGAGGGAGCGAGGAGGGGGTAGAGAGTCGAGAGGGGAGCTGAAGGCTCGGTCAAAGAGAAAGGTTTTGAGACCGGCCTTGAAGGAGGAAAGGGAGGAAGCGGCGAAGGCACTGGGGGATGGAGTTCCAGAGCCTCGGGGCTGAGAGGCTGAAGGCCCGACCACCGATGGTAGGGCGGTTGGGGTCTATGTCGGTGTTTATGCTCCACCTGAACCTCCTCCTGCCTTCCTCAGCTAAGACTTCAAGCATAACCTTCTATTCTTTTTTCCCCTCATGTACCGAGCTAGCTTTCCCTTAAATACCTCTATGCTAAGAAGGATGAGGAGGCAGAGAACAGGTGGAAAGAATGTCCAAGCAACTGTTGACTAATTTGTATTGCAGCAGTATTTTACCTGCAGCACATTTATCTTGGGTAGGATTCAAACCCTACATTGGAATTGCTTGACATGTTTTTAAGTTTCCTTTCTTTCCCCTGTCCTGGTCTGGTTCTCCCAACACCATATAAACAGCTACGAGACCAGACAATCGATCTATCAAGCATTGCCACTGTTGCGTGTGACCCAAACTTCAGATTCATTTTCTTCCTTTCAATGTTTTGTTCAATGGTTCAGTAAACCAAGAGAGTGTACCATATTGGAATTGGATATGCAATTTGTGCCCTAATATACTTGACAACTTGGCACAGTACGATGCTCTATCATGCCTACATTATTTGTGCCAATTATGAATCGGGAATAAATGTGTTTTTGGAATGTGAACATGTTCTCACTAGCAATTGATGGGCCCTTCCAGACAGACTTTAAGACTTTTGATCGAGGCCCTTCTAGATTTCCAAACTGGATTCAGGATCTTAGTGGTAGAAGATTTTTAAATTTTCAACAGTCGACTTACTGTAATGCCAAAAAGAGGGTCAAACTCAGACAGGACTACGTGTCGGTCCTCCATCTTCCTCCTTCCTCCGCGGATAGCGTGAACAGAAATCTTTAAGTAGCGTTTTGGTGTATACAGCAAAGGAGGTCGCTTCTTCCACTCACAGCAAACTTCGAAACACTTATTGAAGAATAATCGAGCCAGTGGTTCTTGCTGCAGCACTACAGAGAGAATAATCGAATTAGAGACCAAAGTCTAACAATGAGTTAAGCAAACTGCAGAAGCTTTAAAGGTGTCCTGTTGAAAATAGTGATCATAAAATAGAACAGTTTAAAATTTATTTTAAAGCAATATCAGAGCAAGATCATTCAGTTACATTTTGCTGCTTTCTCTTTCCGTCCAACTTAATTATTGAGAGGAACAAAAAGCAAATGGCACGGAAAGTAAACTTCAAACCTCCAATCAATCTTTGCTGCTAAATACAAACTAATTAAAATGGTTTATTCTCGGAATTGTTAAAATCAAATACAATATGCTGATCTCTGACATAATAGATGAGTCCGCACCATTTCAAAGGGCCAGATGCTCTCTTCATCCCTATAATGAAATGGGTACTAATTAACATTTAACTGACAGTAAACACACAATTGCACAATTGTTCTGTGAAGAAAAAAATCTTAAATTTAAGGTTGCTAAATGTAGACCTTAAATTAACTGGATGACATGAAGGCTTCTAGAAGGGCTGTGTCTCCAAGTGCACAACACTGCAATTCATAGATCAGCTCTTTTGAAGTGCAGTTCTGCCAGGAAACAGTAGATGTCTTCCTTACACTGCAAAGAACTATGTAGACCTTGGTTACTTTTTAGAAGAAAGTAAGCGGTTTCAGTACAGCAAAAGCATTCCGGGACTCTACCCTGCATGAAGGGCGCTATATGAATGCAAGTTTTTTTTTGTTTTAAAGCGCTTTATGAAGTTGCCCTATGTGAAAGGTGCTACATAAATGCAAGTTGTTCAAGTTTAAAGTATACCCATAGAAAAAAGAATGCAGACTGGTGTTAGAAAATATAGAATCCAAATTTGTAGAGCAGAATACTGCAAAAGTTGGATTGAAAGAGATAGAGATTTGTTATAGATAACATTATAATCTCAGACATTAGCACGTCAGGTTCTTCTTAAGAAAACGCTGGAAAGTCATGTTCAGATTGTCAATCAAATGCCTGGTATCATCTTAATGCCTGTCTTCTTGCTTCTACATTCGAACACAAAAACTAGTCAAATCTTTGAATTATTTTTTAAAAAATACATAAAATAAGACGATTTTAAAGGGATTAAATGTTTTCCCCTTTTCAGATTTTTTTTATTGCCTAAGCAGAGTTCCAAGAACATCAGTACTGCCCCCAAATTTGTGCCTGTTTCATTTCTAGATCAGTGATTATTTTGATAGTCACACTAGGACTGGTGTCTGAAATACACAGGCTGAGGAAGTGACATTTACTCAGGAACTGAATTGTAAACCAGGAAGTAACTTGTGAGTAGTCAGGGCCATTAAGCAGGGTGTGCCCAGGCGTTTCCCCCATTTACCAGTGCAGCTGCTGTGAGATTACTGCCAGGCAATTTATTTCACAATATCTTGAGACAACTGTCTCAAAATGGAGACAAAAGTCTATGGTCTTAAAACGAAAAAGATACAGTATTCTCAGTATTCTGTAACAAAGAAAAATGGGATTACTGATAAAGGGCGATTTAGAAAAAACAGGCAGCAATGGCGCAAACATTTTATTCTTGGGATATAATACATAGTTTGGGACATGACATGTCATGCGACTGCCAGGATGGTGGAAGGTGAACTGGATGGACCTTGGTCTTCTTTTGCCTAGCAAACTCTTATGTTCTTAAAGAGTGGAATGTTATCTTTAGTGTGGTTTCTATTCTTTGAATGCATTTCACATACGAATAAACTGACAAATAAATGGATGGAGCAATAATCAGCAATAATAATAATCTTTGCATTTGATATAGAGCCTTATCACATTGTTGAGACGTCTCAAAGCGCTTCACAGAATATACTATAAAGTGTAGTGACTGTGTGTTTTTATGGGCGAAACTCAAAAAGACTAATTTTCAACCAGAAGGCTGACATTGAATTGTGTTGTGCCACTGCTATCTGTTTTTCTAAGTTCCATTTTTCTATCTCTATCCTTAACATTTTTACTTCTTGGCTTCTTATCCAGTTAGATCCCTCATGAATTAATCACCAGCCTACTTAATAACCCCTACCATTGGTGGATGAACTCCATTGCAGAATCCCTCCACCTTGCCCCCTCCCTCCCCACTTTAAAAGCCTGCCATAAGACCTCTCTCTTCAACTGTGCTTTCGGTCATCTTCTTTCCCCCCCACCAGTTAAGCCCAGATGCCCAGTCAGCTGTGTGAAGTTCTTGGGAGACATCCTCCAGTCATGAAAGGTACTATATAAATATAAATTATTGTTGGTGGGGTTGACTGATTGATTCATTGAGAATCAGGAGCCACAGCAACTCTGTGGGAAGCAATTCCTTCTTACTATTTTCTAACAATACTATACATTTAACAAAGGTTAATGCTGAGAAAACAAATCTAACATATCTTTCTCTTCCCCTCCTCCCCAACACGCACCGTCCAGACTCACACATGCAATGGGGGGGGTGGGGGAAATCAAACAACGAGGCAAAGACAAATTAAAAAGTTAAGCTATTCCAAATTTAGAGAGGAGGGTAATAGAAATGCAGCTTTATTCACAGACTGAAATACATTCATTACGAAACTAGACTAAAGGCACATTTGACTAATGTTCTAACTCATTCATTTTGATATCTGTATTCACATGAGCTATGGTAAATTAATTATGAATCATAAAGGAGTGGATTGCCCTGCCTGGTGGGTGATTTGAGTTCCACTGTACAGTAAACTCACATAAGTCGTTTCAGATGGGGCCATAAGATTTAATATAACTTGCGTGAAGAATATAACTTGCGTGAATTACAGGTAAACTTGCACAAGTCGTATCATATGCGACTTATGCAAAGTTATAGAAACATAGGAACAGGAGGCGGCCATTCAGCCCTTCGAGCCTATTCTGCCATTTAATTAGATTATGGCTGATCTGTACCTCAACTAATCCTTTCAATTCCAATTTCCCGCTTTCTCCCCATATCCCTTAATATTCTGACCTACCAACAATCATCAACTTCACTCTTGAAGGTGTGGATGGATACAGCATCCACAGCCTTTTGGGGGAGAGAATTCCAGATTTCTACCCCCATTTGAGTGAAAAAATGCTTCTGATTTCACTCTTAAATGGTCTGGTTCCAATTTTAAGACTGTCCCCCCCTTGTTTGGATTCCACCACCAGAGGAAATAGCTTCTCTATCCACCCGATCAAATCCCGTTATCATCTTAAACACCTCAATCAAATCACCCCTCAGCCTTCTAAACTCAAGGGAATACAATCATAACTTAACCCTTTTAGGCGTGGTAACATTCTGAACCTGCGCTGCACCCACTCCAGGGCCAATATATCTTTCCTGAGGCGTGATGTCCAAAAGTGAACACAGTCTCCAGATGGGGCTGACTAACGCTCTATACAGCTGAAGCATCATTTCTGTAATCCAGGCCCATGTTATGCATAAATCAGATTTTATATGACTAACACATAACAAATACAGTAAATAAGTACCTTGTTTACCTCGCGTGTTTCAAAGGAGTACATTGTGGTGATAAGTCAAGACTTGCTTCCCACGATTGTTTCAAAGAGGACACAATTTTACCAATTTTTGACTCATACTGGGATACAGCTCAGTGAGTACCAGCAGCCCATCAGTAGTTTTCCAAATGTCCAAATGTATGTGCGAGTCTCAAAGGCAAGTCTTAGCAAAGGATTTCATAATCGAGACTGATCCTCTCCTCACCTAAATTCTACATGTGTGCACTTCCAGTAAGCATTGCTGGATGCAAGTGGAAATAACTTGTGTTTTTCCTCTTAACTGAAATAGGCTTTATAAGTAGGGGTATAGAATACAAAAGTCAGGAAGTTATGATGAACATTTATAAAACACTGGTTAGTCCTCAGCTAGAGACTGTGTTCAGTTCTGGGCACCACACTTCAGGAAGGATGTCAAGGCATTGAGAGGGTGCAAAGATTACCAGGATGGTACCAGGAATGAGGGACTTCAGTTATCAGGAAGGCAGAGAACCTTGGATTATTTTCCTTGGAGCAGATAAGGTTAAGAGGAGACTTAATCGAAGTTTTCAAAGTAATGAGGGGATTCGATAGGGTGAACAAGGAGAAACTATTTCCACTGGCGGGTGGGCAGGTAATCCGAGGACACCGATTTAAAATAGTTGTTAAATAAACAGAGGGGAGGTGAGGAGAATTTTTTTTTTTTTTACAGTTATCTGGAATGCATTGCCTGAAAAGGTGGTGGAAGCCGATTCGATAACAACTTTTAAGAGAAGTAGATAATTATTTGGCGAGGACAAGTTTGCAGAGCTATGGGAAGGGAGCGGAGGAGTGGGATTGAATTGGATAGCTCTTTTCAAAGAGCCAGAACAGACACGATGGGCTGAAGGCCTCCTTCCGTGCTGTATAATTCTATGATTCTAGGTCATTGAAGCCAATGATCCTGGGATCTTCCTGGTGTAGCAAGACTCAGCTATTGACCTAAATGATCAGGGAGCAACTAAGCAAATAGTTCAAATCATGAACTATTTGGACACCCACAGACTGGTTAAATTATAATATGTGTGATACAAACTTATTTTGATCTGAACTCTAATTGATTGTGAACTCTAATTTAGATTCCAAATTCTAGCAATTGAATAACTTTCAATTGTTTAGGCCAGGGACAGCCAGACAGGCACTAGGCCAGGGAGAGGTAAGCCAGAAGCAATCCATATACAGTAAAACAATGCAAACAAATACCTACAGACAATCGCCTCTTCATCATGTTGAGATTCTCCTTTCCTTCTAAATACGGAGAGATCAAACTGTAGCACCTGAGCAATAGTGGCTTGGATTAAAGCTGCAGCAAGGACTGGTGGCACATTTCTGCAGGAGAAATAAAAGACTGCATAAATATTATGTGGAATCAATCATTTATTTTTTACGTTTACATTCAAGGCTAACAATATGGGGGGGAACATTATTGAAGGTGAAGTTCTTCAGATGAGATGCTAAACCAAGGGTTCCACCTATCTATTTAGGTGGATGTTAATAATGCTACAATATTTGAAAATTGAAGGGCATTTTCCCCACTATCCTGGCCAAACATCTTCCAGATAAATTAGTTATTCACATAATGGCTGTTTTTTCAGACCCTGCTATGTGTAACATGACTTCCACATTTGTCATTGCACTTTAAGACAGTCAACGTTATAGGTGCTATATCAAATGCAAGGATTATTGTAAACAGATATTCATTGCAATAGCTTCGTCAGCCACATAGAAGGTAGTTTATGAATGTCAACAGAGAGAACATGAAGTTACACATTTTGGAGGTAAGAAATAAGGAAGAAATGTGAAGAAATTAGAATGACAGATCTACCAAGATATTTTTGGCTCGAAGGCAAGTACGTCTATTTGGCTCATAGCTGGCATGTCCATATGCCGAAGCCCCTCATATAAGGACCTGGATCGAGCAGCTGGTGCTGAGTAGACTTGAATTCACATGGAATTCACTTGAACTTCTGGAATGTTAAGGTGGTTTGCACTTCACAAGTTATCCCGTAAAGGGCCTCCTACCACGCTTTAGGCAGATATCTGTCGAATGGCTGATAAGAAAATTCTGAGGTTTGGAACAACAGCTGCTGTAAGGTGTTACCAGGAGTTCATGATCACGTTCATATATCTTTGGGTTGGAATTGATCTTGATTGATATGCAGAGAGATAAGCAGTTGCTGTTGCTGCTTAACCTCCAACTGGTTAAACCATCAATGGATAGGAATGTGTCCAAGCTATGAGGAAGAAAATGGTAGCAATGTTCTCATGCCTTCCTGATAACTTGTGCTGCTCACCACAAAGCAATCAGGGACTTCTTAGTACCTACCATCCACCTAATGATACCCAAACCTGCACTGAGCAGATGTCAAATAACAAACTAGTCTCCGGGGGCGGACGGGGGAGAGAAGGGAGGAAAGAGGATAAGGTGGGGTCTCCATGGAACTGAACTGGCTCTAAGGTGTTCGGCAATGGAAGTCAGAATGCAGTCAATCCTTTGTGGCAGTCTCGGCAGTCTGAGCCCTGAACTGGATCTACAGGGAGAACTATGTGATTTTAGCTGGTTAAACTCCAACAGTAGCATAATGAACATTGTGGGGTGCCCAAGCCTTGGCTCTTCCAATCTGCACCTAATACTCTCTGGAATTAAGTAAGCAGAGTGTGTGTGTGTTCAAGGAGGGAGTGCACATTCCATTCCAGACATTGGAATTTCCATCTGTTGATGGCATTTACATAATTCGGGGTTTTAGTCAGACACCCAACTAACCAAAACAAATTCACTAGAAAAGCTAAAGAATTCACTTTTGGTACTTTGGTTATATCTGGGTGTATGGCAGAGCTTCTTTATCGCCCTCTCCCTCCCAAACAGATTTGTAAAACACAGTAAGCTGATTGGAATCTTGCAAGTGTAAACGTGCCACAATCAACTGAAACTGGGTGTAAAATATTAATTAAATTTCATATAAAATTAATTGGTGGTGAAGAATCCAATTACAGTTGTTAAAGGTTAAGCTTATTGCAATTTGGCATTACCACCCATGCAGGCAACCATCTGCACAACCTTGTGGAAGTTGCAAATATTAAATGATTTTACTCAATCAAAACCATGGTGAGGGCGTTACAGTGCCAGGAACTGTCAACTTGCGTAGGAGGTGTCCTTCTTAAGCTGTCTTAATAATAGGATTGTATCTGAGGCACTCACCATCAGTGTTGCAGAGTGCAATTGTGATACAGATTTACAAGAGGATTGACCATGTACACAGTACACTCCCATGAAGATGTTAGATGTTGATGACATGATAAGGCACTCTATCAAACACAAAGATACTATTTACAGGCTGGAATCCATTCTTGTAAAGAGTCTATGAGGAAGGTCGGAGCTTTATGTGAGATCACAGAAAATTGTAAACCTGAGGGGGAAACTAACCTACGTTACTTTTGGTTTCCAAATGGCTTTCGACCTAATGCCTTATTAAGCCCTCATGATGAAGCTGGAAGCTATACGTGTCCAAATCTTTGATTTTAACTAGGATATATATGCCAACTCCAAGATCTGCGTGACAACAACAACTTGCGCCCTTCATGCAGGATAGCATCCCTGATCGCTTGACAGTGGCAGAGTTTAACCCCAAGCCAGGGGAAAGGGAGGGGGAGGTGACCGTAAGCACGATCAAAAAGCAAGGTCTTTTGGCGGGATTTGAAAGTGGGGAGGGAGGGGGCAAGGGGGTGGGATTGAGGGGAGAGTTCCAGAGTGTAGTGGCTGAAGGCATAGCCACCGATGGTGGAGTACAGGGGATAAACAGAAGGCTGGAGCCAGCCGAGTGGAGGCAGCCGGTGGTGGAGTGGGGGGGGGGTAAGCAAATCGGATGGGTAGGGAGTGTGAGGACAAGAAGGGATTTGAAAATGAGTGAGAGGATCCTGAAATCGATCCGTTCAGTATATTGGGACTCAGTGGAGACTGGTGTGATGTGGGCACAGAGCTTTGTGTGGGTGAGAATCCCGGCGGCAGAGTTCTCAATTAGTTGAATTTTGTGTATGGTGGAGCTGGGGAGACCAGCAAGGAGGGCATTAGAATAGTCCATCAAATAGCTGTTAAGAAAACTCCTATCTCCAGGACCTTGGTAATTACCTTGATTGGCATGCAGAAAGATAAACAACAACGACGACAACAAAATTACATTTGTATAACATCTTTCACATCGGGAGGACATCCCAAGGCGCTGGACAGTCAGTTTTTGTATCCGAGCTGGGGATCATGATTAGGAGGGTGGAGGGCAGGTGGGGGGACGGAGGATAATCGAAAGCACGGTCGAAGAGGGTCTTGAGATGGGTCTTGAAGGAGGCAAGGGAGGGGGTGAGGCTTAGGAGCTGCGGGATTGAGTTCCAGAAGGTAGGGGCAGAGTGACTGAAGACTCGCTCGCCAATAGTGGGGTGAGCAAGGCGGGGGACATGAATCAGGCCGGGGACTTGGTCTTGTTGATGTTCAACTGAAGGAAGTTAGCTCTCACCCAGGACTTGATGTCTGACAGACATTTCATCAGCTTATAGTGATGATGAGAGAGTAGTGGGAGACAGGTACAAAGGTGTGGAGGGAGGGATTGGTAGGGGCCAGAGTGTGAGGGGGAGATAGGGAGGGGATAGTAGACGGAAGGGCAGAGGCAGCTGAGTGCATCCCCTCAACTTTGGTTTTGAGGAAGTCCAGCATCGCCTTGCAGTTGGCATTGGAGATGAGAATGGGCGAGGCATGAGATGGTGGGTGGAGGAGTCACTTGGTGACCTGCTGCTGCAGCACCATATTGGCAGGAATGCTCACTGAGTTGTACTGCTACTAAAAGGCATGCGTGGAATACCTAGTACCTACTATCCACCTAGTGAGGGCTCAAACCTGCATTTGTCAAATGTCCAATGAACAACTAGCTGGACAAGTGGTACGAAGCTTGACAGTGTTTGCAATGGAACCTATGCAGTTTTAGTCGGTTGAAATCCAGCAGTACCCCAGCAGTACCATTTGGCACTCGCTTAAGACATTGTGAAATGACAGCAAAAATGTTCTTTGTGACCCAATCTAGCCCAGGCTCTAGGGATCAATACCTCCTGAGAGGAAACCTGGCAGCTTATCTGTATGAAATCCAAAAATCAGACATTTGAGTGGCATCGGGGTTTGTATTCAGACATGGTGTGCATTGATTCATTTTAACCTCTGGTAACAATAATTAACAAAAAAATTACTGAGTACTGCTCACATTTTAGAAATTTCCAACCCACTCAAAAAACATCTTTCTCGCTCAAAATTTTAAAAATTCACAACCCTAATTTTATTATTAGCAACAAACTGATCTTGAACATTTTTGTACAAACAAGATTGTAATGTAATTACCAGGCAGATGGTGCATAGAATGAGGAGAGGGCCTACCCTTCTCCGCAACATTCTATGATATAACCTCTCTCCCATCTTCCTTAATGTGTGTAATCCCAGAGATCTTGCATTGCTGGAATTCCTCACATTCTAAAGCCTCTCCTGGCAGAGGAACACAGAGAGCCAGTAGGGAAATCAGTTATGTTTCTCATGTTGTCACACTGAATTAACTACGTACTGCCTTGGGTATAATTTTGAAATACACAGTAGGTTAATCAGTACCTAAAAGAGATCCCATGTATTGACATTTCAACAGCAACAATTTATATGGTACCACATCAGGAGGACATCTCAAAGTGCTTCACACAGTGGACTAGGAGCCTGAGTTTGGGGGGTGGAGGCTGTTTGATATTTCCAACACCTTCTTGATTGGCTTGCGCCAGCTCCTCCATACTGGCAGCATCAGCATCCATAGATGCAGCAACAACAAAATTACATTTGTAAAGTGCCTTTCATGTCGAAAGGACAGGCAGAGTTAGGGACCCGAGCTGGGGGTAGGGGTAGGGGAGGGTGGAGAGCAGAGATCGAAAGAATGGTCGAAGAGGAGGGTCTTGAGATGGGTCTTGAAGGTGGCGAGGGAGGGGGTGAGGCGGAGGGATTGCGGGATGGAGTTCCAGGGGGTGGGGGCAGAGTGGTGGAAGGCCCGCCCACCAATAGTGGGGAGAGCAAGGCAGGGGACGTGAAGCAGGTCGGAGCCCACTGAACAGAGGGAGTGAACAGGGTAGTAGGGGGTTAGGAGGTCGGAGAGGACTTTGAAGGTGAGGACCAGGATCTTGAACTGAATCCTCTGTGTGATGAGAAGTCAGTGGAGTTGGGCAAAGATGGGGGTGATAGGGTCGCAGAGCCTAGTGCGGGAGAGGACAATAAAGTTGCAAATATTGTGCTTATGTGCAGCAAAGGATCAAAGCCCAGTGACAAAATTTGCTTATCAGAAATAGTCATCGACTAATGCTGGAATAGAATAGCCTAAAGCCATGGAGACCATTAACCTAGCTGAGAATTGTTTACTCCATGACCCCGCTGGTTCAGTTGGTAGCATACTTATCCTGAGTCAGAAGGTCATGGGTTTTAAATCCCAGATCTGAGCTCACTCAGGATAAGTGCTGGGGGAGCACTACGTTGTCAGAAATGCTGTCCATAAAATCAGATCAGATGTTACACTGATCCAGTTTATGTGTTCAAGTGAACAAAGACCCCGTAGCACTATTCAAAAGAGACTTTCTACCGCGTTCTAGTCAACAATCCCCAGATAAAAATTGGCCATTCACCTCGTGATTGTGTGTGGCGTGCTGTGCACAAATTGGCTGCTGGGCAGACAAAGGATGTCAGGACAAACATAAAAGTTCAGAGCAAAAGCTCTGATTTGCTCATTGACATCTGAGTAAAATATGCACATGAGACTCTGAATACAGTATCAGAAAGACACCAGTAAGATCAAATTGTTTGTTTCTTGCTTAAATGCAACATGCAAGGTTTTTCAGGCTTGCAGAGTGTCCAGGCAATTATTTTGTGAACTACTTATTACATATTACAATATACCGATGTACGTTTATTGAGACATTTTATGTGGCGAATAATAGCAGTGTCATACAACACAAGCTGTGGAAGTGTAAGGTTAAAAGCACATGAGGAAACGGAAATGGCAACAAAAGAATCATTTCATAACAGGAAGTTCATTTCCCTTTTTTACACAACATGAGAGAACAGGCAAAACTAAATGAAGAAAGCAGCCAGGTCAACCATCTTGGGCAAGTTTCCTTACTTCACACGCCTCTGTTTACCAAGCAGTAAGGAGGAACCCGGTTGTCAGTCGATTGGTGGATCGCTTTTCCGGGGTAATAATCCCTTCAAAAAATAATAATAATTTGGTCACTCAATCCATGACTGTTTATGGGATACTGTGTGCGCAATTGACTGCCACGTTTCACCCACAAAATATACAGTCAATTCACTTCACAGTATATGCTGTGAAACTCTTCGAAGATATAAGGCACTATACAAGTGCAAGGATTATTATTATTATTATCTTGATCCACATCAGCAACCTCTATTTTTCAATTCTTTATCCCTCACTGGAAATATAGCAACAACTGGAGTTTTACAAAAGTTAAATCTGAAATACTTAGCTGCTTTAGAACTTTTAAATTATGCCAATTTAAGGCCTGCATGGTTGGCTTTTGGCTGCCACATTATCTAGTAATTGGATTAAGTTCATACTCAACATTAATCACAAGGCTCCCATCACTTCCTGTGTGATATACAAAGAAGGCGAGTGGGGATAGATTACAAACAGAGCAAAAATATTTTTTGTCCGATCCTAAAGATAGCAAGAATGAACCATCCACAAACCATTCTCTTCTTGGAAACAGGTTTTCTAGTACTCTGGGACATGAGTCACAAAAATCTGATGGAACATGCACTCAAATTTGGGCTCATCCTCATTCTTTGTCATGAGGTGAGATGACTCTAGAACAGAATCTTTGGTGCCATCTGCTGGGAACGGGCAACTTCAAACTAACGAAAAGCATAGATAAGATAGGCAAGGCTAGATACATTGTTTACAATAGATCATTTTCAAGTCAAATCTGCTTTCAGAAATTCCCGCTTAGAAAAATAATAATTCTTGCGCCTTATCACATCTTCGAGACGTCTCAAGATGCTTCACAGAATATACTGTAAAGTAAATCGACTGCACATTTTGTGGGCAAAATACGGCAGCCAATTGAATAGAGCAGTGCCCCACAAACAGTCGTGGATTGAATGATCAAATTATTTTTTAAACTGATTATTACCCCTGAGAAGCGATACACCAAACATAATAACCGGGTTCCTACTTACTGCGAGACACACGGGAAACTTGCCTAAATTTTCATCTTGCCCAGGAACCGAACCCGAGTCCTCTTGCTTGTGAGTGCTTTAACCAATACGCTACAGGACTCCTAAAACCAGGTGCAAAAAGGCACCTAAAAGAAAGTTCCCCTTCTACAAGTATTCGGCATGGACTACTCAGCAGTGAAGGCTGCGTTGAGTTGCAGACAAAGAAAATGATAGGGAAGGTACGACAAAATAAACACCTGTCATCCAGGGAATACCTGTAACCAGATCTAAACATTCAGAAGTGTTGTTTAAGACAAACAATTCTAAGTACCCCTCTCTCTCTCGTTAACCTTGGAGCAACAACAGAGCCGTAACATGTTAGTTACCCTTTTCGCTGAGCTCATTTGATCTAGTTTACTCTACCAACTTCACTACTGTTAATACCGCAAAGCCCAAACCATAAGAGGTTGGGTGGTCTGAACATAAAAAGCTCTGTACCTTTGAAAGGATTTTGCAACTTCTCACTGTTCCCATTTGCCAGATGTTGACAGCTCTCCCCCCCACATTAATTGCCCCATGGGAGTTTTAATGATGTTTTATACTACAGTAAAAATACTACTGTTCATAACCACCTGATTCAGTGTACAGAAATGCACAAGAAACTTGGCACTCGCTCTGACCAGGTTTAGTGAATTTCAGAAAGAAAATTAGGCTGGAATAACGATTAAGAAAATTCCAAATGTGATTCAGTGCCTTTTTAATGGATAAATGTTAATGTGATCCAGGAAAAGATTCAGTAATTCTTAATATACTTTGATCCACGACTGGTTGTGGGACACTGTGGTGCGTAATTGGCTGCTGCGTTTCGCCCACAAATACAGTCAATTCTCCTTACAATACGTTCTGTGAAGACGCGATAAGGCGCGACATCAAATGCAAGGGTTACTATCATAGTCTTTACACAATTTAACATAATAATAATCCTTGCGTTTGATATAGCGCTTATCACGTCTTCGAGATGCTTCAAAGCACTTCACTGGATAATAATAATAATAATCCTTGCATTTGATATAGCGCTTATCACGTCTTCGAGACGTCCCAAAGCGCTTCACAGAATATACTGTAAAGTGAATTGACTGTATATTTTGTGGGTGTAACGCAGCAGCCGATTGCGCACAGCAGCGTCCCCACAAACAGTCGTGGATCGAGCGACCGCATCACTTTTTTTCAATAGAAGGATTATTATTCCCGGGAAAAGCGATCCGCCAATCGACTAACAACCGGGTTCCCACCTACGGCCGAGTCAGGAGAGGGGTATACTTACGGTGTGTGAAGTGGAGCGAGTATGATGACAAAGTGACGGTGTATTTTGTGGGCCAAACGCGTACACAGCAGCGTCCCCTACACACAGTGGTGGATTGAGCTGACCAGATTATTATTATTATTATTTTTATTTTTGAAGGGATTATTGAAGGAACCTGCCCAAAGACTCCAGCTTACCAGTCACCCTCACACACACTCACCCTCACACACACACGAGTGTGTTCACGAACAGCCCTGTTATGCAGACAGTGTCTCTCGCTGTCTCGCCCTCCCTGACTGACTGACTAACTGACTTGACTTACCGCTCCAGCAGCAGCTTGAGCCCGGCCTGGATGCACTCCCCCTCCACCTCCTCCCGGCTCAGCCCGGCGCTCCGCCGGCAGGGCTCGGGCAACGGATCCTCGGGGCCCAGGGCACCTTTGAATTCCTTCAGAATGGAGCCCAGGACCCGCCGCACCTCGTGCTCCTCGGGCGCCACCGTCTCACTCTTGGTTGGCGGTGCGGCCATCGTCGTCTCATCCCCTCCTCTCGCTCGCGCGCGCGCGCGCTCTCTCTCTCTCTGACTGACTGACCGTTGGTCGCGTGCCGCTCGGCTGAGGTCAGGTGGGCTCCGCTCCACGCGCGGGACTGGCGCTGCCCCCCCCAGAGAGGAGCTCGAGCTGTCAGTGACCCGGAGGGGCGGGAGTGACTGCGCAGGCGCCACCCTGGACCCGCCCCCCCTCCCCCCGGATCACGTGACCGACTTCCTCTCGCGCTCCCCAACACGTACGCGTACAGCGCACGCACAGCGCATCCCTTGCTCCCCCCCCCCACCGAGCGCCCAGACCCCGCCTCGCTCGCTCGCTCGCTCCCCGTTGGCTGAGGGCGAGTATTTCTCTTCTCGTTCCTCACAAACAAACAGACAGACAGACGACCGAACCCGGCGGCTGCGAAGCTTCACCCGTCACTTTCATTGATTTCCCACCGTGAGTTCAGTCGGTGACCTCCTTGGCAACAAGTCCCTTGCGCGCACCTCCCCATAGAGGTTACACTGGGGGTGGGGTGGGTGGGGGGTGCTGCCTCCTCGTGGCCCGATGCAGGTACTGCCACCCGCAGCACCCGATAACCGCACCAGTCACCCCCGGGATCCCTGCAGACCCCACTGTGCTGCTGCCCCGGTACCCCACCTGGTGCCCACCCACTCCCCACCCACTCAGCTCACACTTTTTTTTTTGAAAAAAAAATCATAAACGGGTCCAGAGTTCGGAAGCGGCGCTCGCGGCGCTCCTGCGGTCTGACTCCGGGCATTTGGTCCTCGGCGATACTTGAGCTTCGCGGCTCGGAGCCGTCTCGCAGCACTTCCCCAGGACAACAACAACAACAACAAGATTCCATTTATAAAGCGTCTTTCACGTCCTGTCCCAAGGCGCTGCACAGTTGGGTCATGACCCGAGCATTGGGGAAATGGTGAGGGGAGGGAAGGGAGGGAGCGAGGAGGGGGGAAATGGTGAGGGGAGGGAAGGGAGGGAGCGAGGAGGGGGAAATGGTGAGGGAGGGAAGGGAGGGAGCGAGGAGGGGGGAAATGGTGAGGGGAGGGAAGGGAGGGAGCGAGGAAGGGGGAAATGGTGAGGGGAGGGAAGGGAGGGAGCGAGGAGGGGGAAATGGTGAGGGGAGGGAAGGGAGGGAGCGAGGAGGGGGGAAATGGTGAGGGGAGCGAAGGGAGGGAGCGAGGAGGGGGGAAATGGTCAGGGGGAGGGAAGGGAGGGAGCGAGGACGGGGAAATGGTCAGGGTGAGGGGAGGGAAGGGAGGGAGCGAGGAGGGGGGAAATGGTCAGGGTGAGGGGAGCGAAGGGAGGGAGCGAGGAGGGGGGAAATGGTCAGGGTGAGGGGAGCGAAGGGAGGGAGCGAGGAGGGGGGAAATGGTCAGGGTGAGGGGAGCGAAGGGAGGGAGCGAGGAGGGGGGAAATGGTGAGGGGAGGGAAGGGAGGGAGCGAGGAGGGGGGAAATGGTCAGGGGGAGGGGAGGGAAGGGAGGGAGCGAGGAGGGGGGAAATGGTCAGGGTGAGGGGAGGGAGCGAGGAGGGGGAAGAGAGTCGAGAGGGGAGCTGAAGGCTCGGTCAAAGAGAACCGTGCACTGACCATATATTTCGGGGGCGAAACACGGCGGTGAGTTGTGCACAGGAGTGTCCCACAAACCACAGTGTGATACTAAGCTCAGAAAAATAGTAAGGAGTGAGGATAGTCGCATGCCAGAGGTCATAGGCGGGTGACGCGGGAAGACACGGGGCAGGTGGTCTAATGTGGAGAAGGGTAAAGTCATGCATTTTGGGAGGAGAATGAGGAGCGGCGATATAAGCCGATGGTACAGTGGTAAAGGGGGTGAAAGAACAGAGAGACCTGAGGGGTCATATAAGTAAAGCTTTGAAGGTGGTGGACAGGCAGATAAAGCTGTTAAAAAAGCCTACAAGATACTGGGCTTTATAAATAGGGGCATAGAATACAAAAGTCAGGAAGTTACGATGAACCTTTATATAAAACACTGATTAGGCCTCAGCGAGAGACTGTGTTCAGTTCTGGGCCCCACACTTTAGGAAGGATGTCAAGGCATTGGAGAGGGTGCAGAGGGAATTGACCAGAATGGTACCAGGAATGAGGGACTTCAGTTATCAGGAGAGGCAGAGAAGTGAGGATTATTCTCCTTGGAGCAGAGGAGGTTAAGAGGAGACTTAATAGAAGTTTGCAAAATTATGAGGGGATTCGATAGGGTGAACAAGGAGAAATTATTTCCACTGGCGGGTGGGTCGGTAACCCGAGGACACCGATTTAAAATAGTTGAAAGAAACAGAGGGGAGGTGAGGAGACTTTTTTTTACACAGTGAGTTGGTCTCTGCTGAAGACCTTTCTTTTCGACTGCGCCTTTGGTCACCTTCCCACCCCTCCCCCTGGCTCCTTCCCGGGATCATAAACTGTAAAGTACTCGAGACGCCGTCCGGCATGGAGGATGCTATATAAATCCAAGTTGTTGTTGTTCGGGTCTGGAATGCATTGCCTGAATTGATGGTGGAAGCCGATTCGATAACAACTTTTAAGAGTAGATAATTATTTGGGGAGGACAATTTTGTAGAGCTATGGGGAGAGAGCGGGGGAGTGGGATTGATTTGGATAGCTCTTTTCAAAGAGCCGTCACAGACATGATGGGCCGAATGTCCTCTTTCTGTGCTTCTGATAGGACACAGGGCCTGGTTTAACTTGGTGGTTAGCAGGTACCAGAAACTCCCTGCGAGCTTCCTTGGGAGCAGCATTGCTCAGTATGAAATGGGTGAGATAATTCTCACCATCTCCCTGCCTATAGCTCTCACACACACTACAACAACAACTTGCACTTATACAGCGCCCTCCACACAGGATCTCAGAACGCTTAACAGTGGTGGAGCCTGACTCTGAGCCGGTGGGAGGGGGGCGATGGCCGTAAGCATGGTTGAACAGGAAAGTTTTCAGGTAGGACTTGAAAGAGGGGAGAGAGGGGGCAAGGCGGAGGAATTGAAGGAGTGTTCCAGAGTTTGGGGCATAGTGGCTGAAAGCATGACTTCCGATGGTGGGGCGGAAGGTATGAGGGACGAGCAGGAGGCCGGTGCCGTTCGAGCGGAGGCGCCGGGTGGTGGATTGGGGAGTGAGGAAGTCAGAGAGGTAGGGAGATGCCAGGGAGTGAATGGATTTCAACACAAGAGCGAGGATCTTGATGTCGATCCATTCAGTGATGGGGAGCCAGTGGAGCCTAACCAGAACTGGTGAGATGTGGGTACAGAGTTTGGTCCGGGTCAGTATGCGGGCGGCAGAGTTTTGAATGAGCTGGATGAACAACCTATCTATGGAGTGATAGTTCCACCAGTTGCAGGTGCAATGCTTGAGCTGCAGCTGGTTACTTCTCTGCAGAACACTCGTTATGGATACCAAACCAAGATACAAGCCCAAAATATGAAAAGCCCAAAATATGAATAGGTTCATGGACCTGGGCTCCAGCATTGGTTTCCAGCAGCTGTCATGACAACCTTCAGAGTTTCCCCATCAGCTAATCAATGGGCATCTGCCTTCAGCATAGTAGCAAACCTTTACAGGGCAGCTTGTGATGTGCCAGCCACTTTGATGTTCTACATTCTTCCATCTAAAATAATGTTACATGGAGACAAGAATTAGATCAAATACGTTTTGTTTTGCAAATAAATGGATATGCTTGATTTCAACTGGTTTGTCCCATTTCTGAACCGATTACAATTAGTGCTCGAAATACTGCAGACATAAACTCCCACTGGAATTTACAGGCAACAGCACTTCTTTAGACCATGTCCCAGATTAACACTCACATTTTGATTGCATTGATAAGCCTGTTTCTTTCTACTCCCACCGCCCCAATCCAATGGAGGCTCTGTTACACTCGGAGCGTGGCGGGGCAGAGACAAAACGGGCGACAAACTCTTCAAACACTTCCAGCCGTTCTCTTTTTTTTAACAAAAAAATCACTATGTTCTGTGCCACAACTTGGAAAATATAACCTTTCCCTTCTCCTCCTCCCCATCTTCTCAGAAAGCATTTCCGCTCCCCATTTTGTAGCCCAGCGACAAACTGCAGGCTGCTCAAAAGCCACGTTCACATCTACACAAAATAAGCAGCGAGTGCCGCCATTTTGTCCTTGGGTTTTTTGGGATTGTTTCTCCCCGGGGCTCTGCGTCCTCTTCCCCTCCCTCGCCTGCGGCCCTGCCCTCCGCCGCCCCTGTGCATCGGGTGTTTCATCTTGGCGTACTGGAGCTCCACCAGGTTCTGGAACACGGGATCGCAGAAGACGCAGCCCGAGTGCTGTGTGGCCTCATCGGGCAGCGGCGTCTTGGTCTTGTTGAAGTCCACGTCCACAATCGCAGCCTCGCAGATCTCACAGGTTTCAGACGACACCTTTACCCTGTGAGCATTTTCGAAGAAGTGGACGACCACGTTGCATTTGTTGCAAGCCATCTTCCACTTGGGACCTGAGGTGGAGTCCAGGACCAACACGCCACTCTCACACTCAACGCACTGCACGATCCCCAGCAGGCTGAGAGAGTGCTGACAGGTTGGATGTGTGCATTCATTACAACCCATCCCTACAACACACAACATAATTAGGCTTTAAACTTCACAAGATCACAAGATCGGTCTGGGTGATGAAGGCCCTTCAACCCATCCAATCTCATCCCTCCAGAACACCCACCCTACCATCTCCCCCATCATAATAATGATAATCCTTGCATTTGATATAGCGCCTTATCACGCCTCCAAGATAAAATGGCCCTTCTCTTTGACCGTGCTTTCGATCACCCTCCTTCTCCCATTGCCCTCACCCTCCCCAATCCCGACCACCAACTTGGGTCCGAAACACTGATTGTCCAGCGCCTTGGGACATCCTCCTGACGTGAAAGGTGCTATACACATGTAATTTTGTTGTTGCTGTTATTATACCGCAAGGTCTTACCTTTCCTCATGTCTCGGAATGGGGGGTGATTGTAGCAATACGGACACAGTGGATAACTCTTGCCTCTGGACCCGGAAGACCAGAGAACCAGCTCAAACTCATCCAGTGGACAACGCAGCTCTTTGTAGAGTTTAATGGTTCCGTTCTGGGGCAGACTGTAAGTCTCATCGCAGTGAGAACAGTGCATTCGACTTGGTTTCGCCTGCGGAAGAATTCAGACACGACAATTTATTTATATGGTATACAGTTTGGAACACGACATGTCAAGTGACTGCCAGGATGGTGGAAGGCGAACTAGATGGACCTTGGACAAAACGCAAAATACTGCAGATGCTGGAAATCTGAAAACAAAAACAGAAGTCACTGGGAACGCTCAGCAGGTCAGGCAGCATCTATAGAGAAAGGAAAATGAGTCAAAGTTTCAGGTCCACGACTCTTCGTCAGAACTGGGTCGTGGATCTGAAAAGTTGACTCACTTTCCTTTCTCCATCGATTCTGCCTGACCTGCTGAGCGCTCTCAGCGACTTCTGTCGATGGACCTTGGTCTTCTTTCGCCAGCAAATTCTTATGTTCTTATAGGAGAGCAATGTTACTCATTGATATAGGAGTAGCCAGCAATGAGAACACCAGAGCACCTCATTCACAGGAGGGTGGACTTCAGGTTCTTCACATCAGGAAAGAAGGAAGAAAGCATTTACATTTCTATAGCACTCACATCATGTTGAAACATGCCAAAACCGTGTGACAATAATTATCATCAAGTGTAATTAATGTTTCTGTTGGCAAATGTGGTAATCATTATGCCTAAGTCCCTCAAACAGCCATTGAAGAAGTAATCAAACCATGTCACTCTTCTCACCTTCTTCCCCCACCTACGATCACTACACTCACCTGTATGTACTTCATGAAACGATGACATTTGCCACAACGGGACAAAGGCTTCCCCGTTTCAGCAATGGGAGAAAACGACACCTCCATTAATTCATCCATACCTGTGGAAAACAATGGAACTGAGCAAAGCAGTGACAGAACGGAGCCCTCTCAAACCAACAGCGAGAGATATCCCCTCATATTAAGCTGAATGGGAATGTTTCATAGTAGCTCTTTACTACTTTATAGATTCATTGGGAAAGTTGTTTTGTGCTATGAAACCACATGTCTTTCTTTCTATAGGAGCTATCCGCACCAAATAATGTGAACCTCAAACATCTTGAAATTCTATTTGTGATGTAACGTGTCTCCTTCCTGAGCCGAGAATACCTCTAACAGTTGAGGAAATAATAACCTTGTTCTGATGAAAGGTCATCGATCTGAAACGTTAACTCAACTTTCCTCACTCCATGGATGCTGCCTGACCTGCTGAATGTTCCCAGAGACTTCTGATTTTATTTCAGGGAAATAATTTCCTGACGAATTCCCTCAGCTGCATGTATGATATTAAAAGGTCCCCTCCATTGGCAAACATCAGTCTCTGTCTCCCATGGCCAAATCCACCATTACTGGGAGAGGCGATAATGTAAGACTTAATATTAGGCATGGTAATAGGAAAACCAGCGGGAATAGTGAAAACCAGGAAAATCTCTGTTGCCTTGAAAGGAACTCTGCTGTGCTCCAGTGAATGACTATCGGATGAATGATTGCACCTCCTTAATAAGGACGTACACCTAGAATAGATCAGAGGTTCTGCAGACCTTTCTTTGAAAGGTTTATTTAAATTCTTCAGTGCCTCTCTCCTCAGCCCCACTCCCTCTACAAATTTTACGCTTTGTCTATAGCATAAGGCCAAAGGTTTTTGCCAACAAAACACACAAGTCACTTTAAAGTATGTCCTATCAGGTACTTTGGGATGTCCTCCTGATGTGAAAGGCACTATATCAAACGTAAAGATTATTATTATTATAAAAGACAATAAGGAGACATCAGTGCTCCAGGTGAGTGGACCTTGAGATTGAGCCCACATTAAAGAGCTTAACATTTGTGCTCAAACACAGTCAAAATTTATGAGGTCAGATACAAAGACACTCTGTAAACCAAAAGGTTATTTGCCCATGTGGTCACTGGCCACCAGACAGAGGACAGGAAGCTGTGGGATCACGTGGGCTTGCGTTGGCGCGTGCTGGGAGAGTTGGGCCGGTGGGAAGCTACAAATGGGATCACAGAATTTTTTTAATAAATGTTTTGGATTCAGGCCTAGACCTTGGTTCCAATCCATGATACCTGGAATCCAGCCGTTTACTCTAAACTATTTAAACCACTTCATCTCAGGGCATAATCTTAAAATTAGAGCCAGACCATTTAGGAGTGAAATCCGGAGCCAGTTTTTCGTCCAAAGGGTAGTGGAAATCTGGAACTCTCTCCCCCAAAAGGCTGTGGATGCTGGATCCATTCATATTTTCAAGACGGTCAGGGTAATTGGACTTGAGGTACAGATCAGCCACGATCTTATAGAATGGCGGAACAGGCTCGAGGGGCTGAATAGCCTCCTCCTGTTTCTATGTTTCTAGTTGAACACATGAATACAGGTTATACTGTAAGATGAATATATTCAGCCTTACCTGCTATAGAGTCTACAAAATAATGGAACTTCCTCTTGAAAATATTCAGGGCATGTTCCAGGACCTGGGAGAAATCCACCTTGCCCATAGCAATCAGGCTCAGCTGCTTCTCAACAGCACTGCGGATGGTGGGAAGCACCAGTTCTTGGTCTGTGAAACATAAGCACAACAAACGTTCTTCACAGTGCTTCACAGATTGCTTTGGGTTTCTTTTAAATTCTCCCGCACTCCCACTGTCGTCTGACCTTGACAGGTTCAGCTAACTCAACAGATAGACCCTGTCAATATCATACTAACATTTAGCCACTAGATGTAACACTTAGCATATGCAATAACCTATTTACAAAGCATTCAGAGACACATGATCACTGCATCAATCTTCTGCTCCTCATCTCCATCCCCATGCGTCTCTAAATTTGGTAGGAAAGCAAGACTAAGTTCCTGATTTGACCAGTTAGCCTATATTGCAAGTTGTTGTTGTTTCCCCACAGTTTTACTTACCGATTTTGTAATAACCATGAACAAGGACGATGCCAAGGTTGGTAGGTTTCAGCCTGCGACCACTCTCGACAGTCACATAATTGCGTTGGCAAACATTATTGATATGTACGGGGATACTGGCATCCGTTCCTAGGCACGACAGAGAAAAGAATAATATTAGCCCCTTCAGGACTACTCACAGCAAATTTTAAAACCGCCCCATTACATCCCATATTGATGAACGTTAAAGTGAATGCACTCATTTCCATCTATTTATGGGTTCTTATTTATTGTTAATAATAATTATCCTTGCATTTTATTTTGAGCCTCTTCACATCATTGAGACGTCAATGACGTCTCAAAGTGCTTCACAGAATATAGTATAAAGTGAATTGACTGGACATTTTACGGACGAAACAAAAATTTTTAAAATAATTTTTTAAAATTGTTCCAAGTTAGGAGCCATTGCTGCCATTGTTGCTTACATTTGATATAGCGCATTATCACGTTTTCCAGACACCTCAAAGCACGTCACAGAATCTACTGTAAAATGAATTTACTGTATATTTTGTGGGCGAAATGTGGGTGAAAGGGAAAAACTCAGACTGGGAACCTTCACGGTAACTATTATATCCTGGGGTCCTTCATGTTATTGATTGCACCCAATGGAGTCCATTGCACCTGAAATACACGCTCCATCCATTTTACTAAAAAAGCTAAAATCCCTGCCAAAAATGGGTGATAATTGGGAGATATCCTTACCAATGCCGTGCTTTTCCATCAGGGTTATCAGTTCCGCTTCGGTGAGGTAGTCAGGTGGATGTGTCTGTTTCTCCAACAACTTAATCTCATCCATAGTAAACACATCCCCTCGCGCACACACTGGAAGTATTTCTTCCTCCATGTTCTGCCATGGCATTACCAGAGTGTAACCTGGAATTTAGAGGAAGAATGTCAAAACACAGAGATAACTCCTCTTGTTACTCATTCCCACACACATGCAGCTCAAACTATTCTGTTCCACAACCCTGCTCCACATCCTCACACACACACACATACAATCACAATGCCTCCTGTAATATTAATGCTATTTTAAATCTTTAATCCACCAAAATACATTCAATAGCAATGAAGTGTGAAAGAACTGAAGCAGCCCAACAGCTGAAACAACAAACCCATGTGCTGCAAACATTACTGACAGAGACAGAGCACCGACATGCTCAGAAATAGAAATAATCCTAAAAGACAAAATACTGCAGATGCTGCAAATCTGAAATAAAAACAGAAGTCGCTGAGAACACACAGCAAGTCAGGCAGCATCTATGGAGAGAGGGAAAGTGAGTTAAACTCATTTTCCTCTCTCCATAGATGCTGTCTGACCTGCTGCGTGTTCCCAGTGACTTCTAGTTTTTAATGACAGAAACAAATCATCCCAATCTTACCAGGTGAAATCAGAGTTTTCCCTGAGCATGTGAAATGTTCCTCGTTCAGGCAGAATGAGATGGTGGTTTGGAGGTACTTGCAGTCGGGGCTAATTGTGGCAATGAAGTGCCTGGTGATGTATTCGTACAGTCTCCAGCCATCGCTACCTGAAACAGCGGCAAAATATAACCATCACATCCCGCCCATCCCAGAACGATCAAACCACTCAGGCCCATCTGACCAGATACTAACACAATCCTGCCAAAACCCATTACTCTGAATAATAATAGTCCTTGCATTTGATATGCTCTAATGGCCTCCTCTTCTACCGTGCCTTCGGTCACCCTCCTATCCTTCCCCACCCTCAGCCCTCCTGATCCCAACCACCAGCTCGGGTTTGGATCCCTGACTGTCCTGCGCCTTGGGACGTCCTCCTGATGTGAAAGGCGCTGTACGAATGTAATTTGTTTTTGTTGTTCTTCATCTTAATAAGATTCAAACCATTTGTTTCTGAGTGAGCTTTAGATGGTGGTTGATTTTCTATAGAGCACAAGACTCTCCTCTCCACCACCAACAAATTGCATTTATATCCCACCCTTCACGCTGGATGGCGTCTCGGCAGCACTTAAACACTGTTACTGCTGCACATTGGAGACCCAGGCAAGTACCTAATTCACTCTCTGACGCCGAGCGCATGGGTGTGATGGGAGGGTGGTCACCAACGTCCTGGCCTTTCCGGGGCCGATTGATGCCATCAGTGAGCAATGCCTTCACCTGGAGAAAAATAATCATTTGATTTCAATCAGTGCCACGCGACAGATATCACACCTTTATCATTCTTATCTTTATGATTTACCATTTTAATTCGGCAAAATAAAAAGCTTATTTGCAGAAACAAATAATAACAATAATCCTTGCATTTGATATAGCGCCTGATCACGTCATTGAGACGTCTCAAAGCGCTTCACAGGATATACTGTAAAGTGGTTTGACTGTATTTTGTGAGCGAAACGCAGCAGTCAATTTTACACCACAGGGTCCCACGAACAGTTATGGATTGATTTTTTTTAATGGATTATCACCCCCAGTAAGCGATAATAATCTTAAGAATTTGTGTGAAAAAAGGTGTAGGATCATAAATTTGCTTTGTCCTTTCAAGACCAAAAGAAATTCCAGTCTCTATTGCATCCTTTTTTTAAGCCCACCACTTTAGAATGGACTAGACTTTGCGGAGAATCTGCTATCAGGTGTAGTCTGCAAACACGGAGCTGCATTTTAAGGATTGACAACGGTTCAATTGTTGGGTAATAAGCACCAGAAGGCAGACAGGCCCCATGAGCGCAATTACTGACTGTCCTTCTCTGTGTCAGAAGCCCAAACAATCTTAAAATAATCCTTTAAAGGAAACAGCTCATTTACTGACCACGTCACTCCAGAAGGGGTTGTTGGCCTGCTGCCGCAGTGTGCCTTTCAGGTCGAAGGACTCGGGATATTGGGTAGTCTCTGTTCGGGGGTAGCTGATGTAGCCCTGGGTGTAGAGTTTCTCAGCTATTTGCATTGTGTGCTGTGGGCCCATCCCTGCTCAGAAAGAAGGGAAGAGTTAATGACAACATAGCACCTACTGCACGTCTGACGGAAGCAACAACAACAACTTGAATTTATATAGTGCCCTTCACACGGGGCATCCCAGAGCGCGTCAATCATAGTGGCGGCTAAATCACTCAGTTCACAAGAGTAAGCCACAGCTCCCTCCAATAGTAACGCCTGGAAGCAAAGTGTGCAGGATATCACACCTCTACATTGCAATCCGCAGCCTTGCCTTGCTCCAGAGTTGGGAGGGCTTTGGATGAAAGCGAATCGAGTCAGCATGCCTCAAGAACAAAGATGAATCGCTAATGCTGGCCAAGGTGGACCAGTGCCGCAGACAGGAGGAAAAAGGCAAAATTCAAAATGTATAAATATTCCTACAAATAATTCCTGTGAAAATGAAAATAAATTGAGATTTTTTTCCCAGAAAAGCAGCATAAAATGCCTCTCTGCATATAACTGGTTCAAGGCATCTTTTCTGTCCTGCTGTTGAAATTACAGAAATATCATCTGTGGATGCAAGGTTCATTCATGTAGTTACAAGACAGTCCCAGATTTTATTAATTACATTTGAGAATCAGGGAAGAGACTTCGGAATTTTCTGATTTATTTTTACTTTTGCCTTTGTTTCTCCTGTTATACTAATACCCTTTCACAGAAACACCTCGCAGAGACTGCAATGAACACATACAAACACACATAATGGTGCAACGTCCATGCAAAGTCTGAGCCTTAAAGCACCAGTTAGTTTGGGGGGAATCTCACGACTAATCACATAGGGAAACTGAAGTATCAATCAGAGTGCAACCACTCAGTCACCCAGGTCTCTCCAGTGCCAAGAGAACCAAATCCAAAATGAAATGTTCTTTAACCTTAGAAATAATAGCAATAATGCTTCAATAACAACAACAAATTGCATTTATGTAGCATCTTTCACATCGGAAGGATATATACATATGATATAGAGTCTTTTTGTGTTGTTAGGATATCTCAAGGAGCTTCACTTAATTATTGTGTTCTGAGATGCTACCCTGCGTGAGGGGCAATATATATATTATATATATGTAAGTTGTTATTGTAACGTGTAGTAGAATTCTGGCAACCAATTTTCCACTGAAACGTCCTCCAAACAGTCATTAAGTGGATAACCAATTTCATTTGGGGGATTGTTGGCCAGGACACAGGGAGAAACTGCCTTCTCTTGACATTGGATCTTTTAACGTCCACCTGAACAGGCAGATGGGTTCTCAATTTAACACCTCATCTGAAGAATGGCACCTTGCAGTGCACCCCCAGCACTGCACTGAAGTGTCAGCCTAGACCATGAGCTCAAAGTCCCAACATGGAGCTTGAACTCAATCTTCTGACTCAAAGGTGAGGAGCGCTACCAACTGGATCAGTAAATACAAGCGCATTTACCACATTTATCCAAGAAAGCACAGACGTCTTACTGCAGCAAATACAATCCCCAAGTAATAAGAATGTATTGAATGTATAGTCTCCAGCATACCCAGAGCAGAGCTGGCTACTCGCAGCATCTCCACAGTGTTCAGGGCCTGTGGTCTCTGCTTCACCTTCTCCTTTTTACTCACACACTCCACCTACAACAAAAGTGAAATAAATAAGATTCAGATTTTGGAAGTCTTACAGTTATCGGTTTCTCCCCTCCCTCATAAACATGTTCGAAAACATGTCAGATATTTTGACTGGAATAGGAAATTCTGTGGGTTTATAATATATAATAAAAATAATAATCCTTCCATTTGATCTAGCGCCTTATCAGGTCGACGAGACGTCTCAAAGCACTTCACAGGATACACTGTAAAGTGTAGTGACTGTATATTTTGTGGGTGAAACGCAGCAGCCAATTGCGCACAACACCAAAGTCTCTTGCAGGTCTGTCAGAACCTGCAGGTTTTGTATTGCTGTAATCCTACAATAGAGACGGGTAACTTTGCAATGAGCAGATGTGTGTGTGTGTGAGGTGGTTCCAAGCTTTGTGCTCTGTCTCACTCTCCTCTCTCTCTCTCTCACACAAGCTAAGAGGTTCTCAAGACATCTCATTATAGAAACGTAGGAACAGGAGTAGGTCATTCAGCCCCTTGAGCCTGTTCCGCCATTCTATAAGATCTTGATTGATCTGTATCTCAAGTTCAATAACCTGCCCTTGCCCCATATCCCTTAATATCGACTTTACAATTATCTATTTACCTCAGTATTATATATTATCTCAGTAAATGGTCCATCTTCTCCCTCACTCTATAAATAGGGGGTTATAGCCTTCCTGTCTCTCAGTAACCTGCTTACCTTAGTCTCTCTTGCAGTTTTTGTCATATTTAGATACATCTGCGCAACTTCTCGGTCAAACACTCGGACTCTATCCCAGTCCAAGATGATGGAATTTCCCTCAGAATCACTGACCTGGATGAAAACAACAAGACATTCACAGTGAATTGCTAAGATGTTCGACCTTAACCTGCAGAAATATCCATCTCAAAGGATTGAACATAGATCCTCTGACAAATCCATAAAGTACTGAATTCTAGTTCATTATTAATGTCCTATAGAGGCCAGTATTAATAGTCCATAAGCATATTAGTCTGGCAAGCATGAGAGTTCAGCAAACGTCTAGAAATACAAACCTTTGCTTGCAGCACCCAGTAGGCTTCTGGCTTAAAAGACTGGATTTTGTCATGTCTCTCCACACAAAAGCCGAGGGTTGGGGTTTGACAAGGTCCAAATGATATGAGGGAGCTGTCCAAATTACCATATTTACCCTGGAAGTACTTAGTCTGAAACCTGTGAAAAACACAACACGCAGAAAAAAGGCATTCAATTTTTGGGAAGAAAGTTGTCCTGTCCTGTACGATCATCTTTACCTTCAAATAAACTATTCCCCCTTTACTGGCCGTAAGAAATTTGAAGAGACAACACCCTTTCAACAAATTTTTTGACATAACGCCTCGTATAATAATCCTTGCATTTGAAACATCAGTGCCTTATCACGTCACCGAGATGTCTCAAAGCGCTTCACACAGGCTTTACTGTTAAATGAGTAGTGACTTTGTAGGCAGGCAATTTGCATCCACCCAGACTGTGAGCTCAAAGTCCTATCATGTAGCTTGAACCCACAATCTTCCAACTCATTAATCCTTACCCGGAGTTGGAGTTTACCAACTGTTTTAGCTAAAACTAAAGCAGCCAGTAAAATGGGTTCCAAGCAAGAGCATGGCAGTGAAGTGGAGTGCAGTCTCTTGATAAGTTCTATGGATTTGTTTCAACAACAACTTGCATTTAAATAGTGCCCTTCACGCGGGGTAGCGTCCCGGAGTGTTTGATGGCGGCGGAGTCTGACCCCGAGCCTGGGGGAGAGGGAGGGGACCGCAAGCACTATCAAAAAGGAAAGCCTTTAGGCGGAATTTGAAAGTGGAGAGGGAGGTGGCAAAGGCGGAGGGATTGAGGGAAAGAGTTCCAGAGTTTTGGGGCGTAGCGGTTGAAGGCATGGCCACCGATGGTGGAGCAGAGGGGACGAAGGACAAACAGGAGGCTGGAGCCAGCCAAAGAGTCAGTGGGTGGTGGAATGGGGGGGAGGGGGGAAGGGTTAAGCAAATAGGATGGGTAGGGAGGTGCGGTTTCCAGGTGCTGTACTGATAAGGCAGACTCCACAGTTTTCCTGTACCTTGTAAAAGCACATCCCACTCGCAGGTCCAGCTCCTGACGTGCATCCACTGACAGAGCCTCATTGCGGTTTGGCTCTCCCAGTCGGTTCATGGCGTTGTTGATGTCGGTGTCTGTTATAGCACTGAATTTTGCCCGGTAAACAGTCCTCTCGTTCCCACGAGAAACATTCATTACTGGTTGAACAACATCGAGGACCTGAATGAGTACAAAAGGAATAACTGAACCACCTAAACTAAACCCCACTCTTGTGTTCATACTGCAGGATAAATTAAGTTTGCAGTTAGTTATTTCACAAACATAATACACGTTATTCTGAAGTTGCAATTGTTTTTCCCTTCAGTAATGAAATCTGAAAACACAAATTTCCGCTACAATGACATGAACTGGTTTGGTAACTGTGGGGAGCACCTCATTCACTACTAATTCATGTTGGGAGACCTCCAACGTACCTTAATCCTAGCTCAGAAAAGCACTTTCTGCTGCAACAGTTCCTTACCTCCATTTCTAAGGAAGCAGCTCCAACATGTACAGCTGCTCCAACAGCAACAACTTGCATTTATATAGCTCCCCCTATGAAGGATAGCGTCCCAGAGCGCTTGACAGTGGCGGAGCACGACGCCGAGCCGGGGGGAGTGGGAGGTGACGTAGGCATGGTCGAAGAGGAAGGTCTTCAGGCACGACTGAAGATGGGGAAGGAAGGTTTTATCCTTGGGAAATAGCTTGAGGTTAAACTAAACTAGTTTCAATTACACTAAATAAAAGTAGGAGCTGGTCTGAGGTAGATTTAAAACCAGGTATTAGTATTCAGTCTACGCTTTTACCTCACAGTCTGCAGGTTATCCAATACTGTAGTTGAATCCATGCGCTTGAAAACTGGCATCAGTGAAAGGGGTTCCTTGTTGTGAGGAGCTGCAGCTGATGAGAAACACTACCAGACGGGCCAGGTTCTACAATGAAGCACTCCCAAAGCTGCTGCATTTTTTCATTCAAACCTTATTGACTCTGCGAGTGACAGAACATTACCTCAAAGCAGATATTTTCACCTTCCTTGTCGCAATCCAGCCACAGCACAATGTAGTCGATGCCTCTCCCCTCTACCTGCACAAGGTAGACACATCGGAGAACATCAATCACATCACTCAGTCACATTTATAATTTGGTCACTCAATCCACGACTGTTTGTGAGACACTGCTGTGCACAATTGGCTGCCGCATATTGCCCACAAAATATACAGTCAATTCACTTTACGGTGTATAAGACTTTAGTTTTTATTTCAGATTTCCACAATTTGCAGTTTTTTTTTTCACCCTGTGTTCAGTTTGGCGCTGGCTGATTACTGCTTGGGAGGAGGTAAACAGGGACTCCTTGGAGTTGAACTGGCTCCAACATGTCGCGCATGGCAATGTCTCGGGTCCGTAAACCTTGGCTATTGTCAGCCATGAGCATCTATTACTCTCCAGAATTAGGTAAGCAGGGTGCGTTCCTCCAAGGAGAGAGTGTGCATTCCATTCCAGACGTAGGGAAGTTTCCATGTTTAGGTGCCAAAAATGGAAGTCTCAGTCTGGTTCAGACACTCTTAAGCCAGTAATGAGTTTCCACATGTGTCACATGGCTGTCCAAATAGATCAATAAAAGAAATTGGGCTGTTAAGGACTGTACCTGTAGAAATCTGACCATGTTGAGTTTTGGGTTAGCTTCTTTCTTCTCTGTTGGTGCTTTGCTGAAAAGTTCTGCTGGATCAACCTTGTCCCAATTATTATATTTGCCTGAAAACAAAGACAAAGTGTTTAGCTTTTTCCCTTCTTTAAGGAACATGTGATAGTAGACTTAACAGCATATAAACAAAAAAAAGGCCATTCAGCTTCACCGGTTGTAGAGTCCTGTGTAGAGCACTCGCCTCGCAAGTGAGAGACCTGGGTTCGATTTCTGACAGGGCGAAATGTTGAGCAAGTTTCTTTAATCCACAAGCCTCTGTTTACCTAGGAACCCGGTTGTTAGTCGATTGGCGGATCGCTTTTCCGGGCGTAATAATTGCTTCAAAAAAAATAATTATTTGGTCACTCAATCCACGAATGATTGTGGGACACTGCTGTGCACAATGGCTTCCGCATTTCGCCTACAAAATATCAGTCAATTCACTTTACAGTATATCAAATGCAAGGATTATTCTTAATATTATTAATCATCGTTTTCTGCACTACCCCCAACAAAAAAAATCCCACCACTCTTTTTTTGCTGAATTAACTTATGCTTCAACTACCTCAGACTTAGTCTCATTCTATTTCATACCACAACAAACCTAAACATGATGTGCACATTCCTTAAGACTGCCTAGTTCACTCACTGAACTTGATAGAAAATCAAGTAAATTTATTTTTTTACATTCTATGCCCACCTTATACTAAAGTTGCATCAAATCATCACAAATAGCTTCCCTGATTATAGCTAATGAAACCCTGTGTAAAACTGAGGCCCCGAGGCTCTGGAACTTCCTTCCTCACTCCCTTCGTCTCGCTCCCTCCCTTCCCATTTTCAGGTCTCTGCTGAAGACCTTTCATTTCGACCGTGCCTTTGGTCACCGTCCCCCCCCTCCCCCCGGCTCGGCCCCGGGATCCAAAACTGTAAAGCGCTCTGAAACGCCGTCCGGCGTGGAGGGCGCTATATAAATCCAAGTTGTTGTTGTTGGTAGTACTGTTTAGATGAACTGTTTGTGATATCCTGAATGTTTCGTTGGCTGCAAACTGCAAACATTCAGATCATTCACCATAAGCACAGGCCTGTAACTCATGGGAAAGTGCAATAAAATAATATTGTCATTATAATCATAATAATCCTTGCATTTGATATAGCACCTTATCACATCTTTGAGACATCTCAAAACACTTCACAGGATATACTGTAAAGTGAATTGACTGTATTTTGTGGGAGAAACGCCGCAGCCAATTATGCACAGCAGCGTCCCACAAATAGTCGTGGATTGAGTGACTAATTTATTATTTTTTGTTGTTATGTTATTTGTTATGTTATTTGCACTTACAAGTTCATATTTACATTTTAATGTAATAATCTACCACAACACAGAACCATGCGACAATTATATCTTCAAAATTGAATTTATCTTTTTAACAGACTAATTTTAGATGGTTCTTCTTTGTAGAAGTTTGCAGCTCTAAACATATGTCTACTAGTCTAACACATTAAACTAACATTCCCTCTGCTCTCACAAACCAAACCAAGAGAAGCATCACATACCTATGAAATCTAGAGTCATGACATGACCGCAGACTGAAGTCACCTTGAAATGAACACTTTGCCCTTGGAATGTGCCAGTGTGCTCATGCACAGAGCACGCGCCATTCAACCCCTTCCGCGAAGACATGTTACCTAGAAGGCAGACAGACAGCAAGCATTGGTCATTTCAGCACGTATCTGCAACAAGGGATTTTTGGAGCCTTTGAGATATTAACTATCAGTCATAAAACCTTCATATTCATATATTCAATAAAAGTTAGATAAGTTAATAGTTAATACACCAGGTTTATAGTATCCATTAGCTGGAAGGCACTAATACTTTAAATGCTCTGACTGCACAGTACAACTTCAGCCAATTTGGGCAGCAGCAAAAAAATCATATTAATCCTTGCATTTGATAGGCGCTATCTCAAAACCAAGGATTATTATTATTCTGAAACTAGAAATTATCCAGATTACTGTAGCATTTTTTATGGTCAGCTGGGTGTCATCATAGTTAGAAGTACCCAAATAAGATACAGTTCCATATATTTATGCCACCAATGCATGGAGATTTCCCTGTGAGTGGAGGGACATATTCCACTTAACTAATGCCGGAATGCATTTATTAGGCAATTGACTGGTGAGAGGCAAGGCTCAAGGACCCCAGTGTTTGTGTGTGTTGGGGTATAGCTACAGATTAACCAGCTAAAACCATACAGCTTGTAAAGGACAGCACTGCCCGCCCATCTTCTTGCTGCCTGTCCAGCTAGGACCACTGTACCCAACGGGCCTTTGGCTTGCTGAGTTAACAAGAGCTGAATGGGAAGAATCCAATGGTATGCTTATCAGAAGGGAGAATGCTGCCAACTGGGCCACACTAATGATTGAGACTGCCACAGAAGATTAACCCAATTTCACCATTCCATTGTGAAGAACATTATCTTGGAGTCAATTCAGCTCCGAGGATTACTGCAGGAGATGGTTCAGGTGTCTAATATTGAATTCATAAGGTCAGATACTATGTCCATAAGCATTTGCATTGCAACACACATGGGACAGCAGAAACAGATTATGCTTTCACTACATACTACACATTCCATTGGTACAAACGATCCCAGTTATTTGCTAAGTTCAAATGAATTGGTTGCCCATCCCATTATGTTTTATGGGTCATTGCTGGCACAGATTAGCTGCCACGTTTACTTGTAATATGTCACTTCACTTCCAATCAATAATAGTTTGTAAAATGCCTCAAGACTTTTTTTTACGCACACACACACACGCGCGCACGAAAGCACTGTATAAATCCTAGTTATTATCATTAAAATCAGTGACTTGAATATCCCTAGCTCCTATACCACTAGTTTAGAACGTTCCACCATGTCCACTCTGGGCTGTGACATGGTGGACATTGGCTTGCTCAGTCAGTCAGTCGGAGGGTCGAGCTCTTAATCTGTGCAAAACACAAAATACTGCAGATGCTGGAAATCTGAAACAATTCCGACGAAGGCTCGTGGACCCGAAACGCTGACTCCCTTTCCTTTCTCCAGAGATGCTGCCCTGACCCGCCGAGCGATCCCAGCTCTCTCTGTTTTCTGCTTCTCTAACCGGCTCCGGCCTTTACCATCGGGACAACCTTTCCGTGGAAAGTCGCCCTCATTGGCTTCACATCTCTAAGCTGAGAGGGTGAGCTTTCCATCTCCCTGCCCCCACCCACCCCCTGCCCCCCCCACCCACCCACCCCCTGCCCCCCCCCACCCACCCACCCCCTGCCCCCCCACCCACCCACCCCCTGCCCTCCCCACCCACCCACCCCTGCCCCCACCCCCTGCCCCCCACCACCTCTGCCCTCCCCCATCCCGACCCTCAGCTCGGGTCCGAAACTCTTGTCTGTGCAGCGCCTTGGGACATCCTCCCGACGTGAAAGGCACTTTACAGGTGTAAGTTTGTTGTTGTTGTTGTTGAGCACAGACTCAGTCGGTGTGACGTACCCCGCGAAAGGATCTTGGCGATGGAATGAGCCAAAGAGGGCTTCTCGGCCACCATCAGCACCGTCTTCATCCTGCCGGCCTCTCCGTGCCCACGGCCCGCGGCTCCCAGTGAAGCGCCTCCGGCCTCACACACACACACACTCACTCCCGCCCACCGTTGCCCGGTAACCTCAGGGCGCCGCCATGACACTTCAGTCGCTTCCTGTCACGCGGTCCATCACTTCCGGCCGTTCCTCGCGCGCACCCCCCCCGCAAGGAGAGGCGGGGCCGGGGCGGGGCGGGGCCTGCAGTGCCAGGACCGTTCCCATGGTAACAGGTGATGGTGGAGCTATTTTTCGGGGGGAGGTCAGTCTGGTGTTTGACACACACACACACACTGTGGAGCGAGTCCTCAGTGGTTAGAGCCCTCACCTCGTAAGCCAGAGGCCCCGGGGGGTCAGGGCGAGACGTTAGCCAAGTCTCCTGACCCCACACGCACACACACAGCACACACAACACACAACACACACGCGCACACAGCACACACAACACACGCGCACACAGCACACACAACACACGCGCACACACAGCACACACAACACACAACACACACGCGCACACAGCACACACAACACACGCGCACACAGCACACACAACACACGCGCACACAACACACGCGCACACAGCACACAACACACGCGCACACAGCACACACAACACACACACAACACACAGCACATACAACACACACGCGCACACAACACACGCACGCACAACACGCACACACAACACACACGCGCACACAGCACACACAACACACACGCACACACAACACACGCACAACACGCACACAGCACACAACACACACGCGCACACAGCACACAACACACAGCACACACAACACACACGCGCACACAGCACACACAACACACACACAACACATGCACGCACAACACGCACACAGCACACAACACACACGCGCACAGCACACACAACACACACGCGCACACAACACACGCGCACACACGCACACAGCACACACAACACGCACACAGCACACACAACACACACGCGCACACAACACACACACGCACACAACACACACGCGCACACAGCACGCAACACAACACACGCGCACACAGCACACACAACACGCGCACACAGCACACACAACACACGCGCACACAGCACACACAACACACAGCACACACAACACGCACACAGCACACACAACACACGCGCACACAACACGCACGCAACACACACGCAACACACAAGCATACACACGACGCACACGATTACACACGCACGCACCACACACACGCGCACGCACCACACACACGCACGCGCCTCTGTTTACCTCACGGTAAGTAGGTTGTCTGTCGATCGGCGGATGGCTTTTCCTGGGGGTAATAATCCCATCAAAAAAAATATATGTATTAAAAAAGTAATAATCACTTCAATCCGCGACTGTTTGTGGGACGGTGCTGTGCGCAATCGGCTGCCGCGTTTCGCCCACAAGATATACAGTCAATTCACTTTACAGCATATTCTGTGAAGTGCTGTGAGAGGTCTCGATGGTGTGATGAGGCGCTGTATCAAATGCAAGGATTAGAGTGGTTTATTACAGAAAACCCATCACCGTGCCTAAGAGTATCCAAACCAACAACAACTTACATTTATACAGTGTCCTTCACAGGTGGGTTGTGTCTCTCGAACAAGACGGAGTTCCACATATATACACCACCGACACATGGAAATTTCCCTGTGTTTGGAATGTGCACTCTGTCCCTGGGAGTACAGACCTTGCATACCTAATTCTGGTGAGTATTGGGTGCAGGTTAGCAAGAAACAAGGCTTAGGATACCAGTGTGTGTATATTGGGGGTACTGCTGGAATTTAACCTGCAAATGGCTTCCCATTAAGAGTGCTGTTTAGTAAGCTTCCTGCTGCTACTTCAGCTCGGATCACCCTACACCAATAGGGACTTTGGCTTGCAGGGTTACCAGGAGCTAATTGGGAAGAATCCTTGACCCCTCCAAGTCCTGCTGATGAGCCATCAACTGTGTCCTGGAGTACAATGGACCTGCTATAGCTCAGGAACTGAGATAGCCACAGAGCACTGACTCGTTTCCAACATTCTGTTGCTAAAACATCCATTTCCTAGGAAACAGACTGACGGCTAGAACCGGCCAAAGCCTTGTTTGGAGCATGTTTCCATGGTAACAGTTGAGGGGGTCACTTCCGTTATCAGTGCATTGACCAGTTGGGACATTGTTTACACAAATAGGAATGACAACTGTTTGCAATTATATATTGCCCTTCACGTAAGACATTGTCTTAGAGCACTTCATAAAGACAAAGATGGAGATTGTCCAACGAAAGGGTGACCATATGTCCCCGATTTTTGAGAACAGATCCCAGAAGAGGTATTGTGTGCCTGGGGCCAAATTTGCCCTGGCTTGAGTTCAGCACCAAACTGAGCAAGAAGCATAGAATTCTAAAACAGATACACTCATCAGAGAAACACAGCCATTAATCCAAAAAACTTTTCCAGTATTGCCAGTACTTCCAACATCAGCAATTGTGGTCAGTTAAAAAATGTTTTATATGGGCCCCGGATTTGGTTTATAAAATATAGTCATCTTTTTGTAGGAACGGACAAAGAGGTAATAATAATAATAAAAATAATCCTTGCATTTGATATAGCGCTTTTCACGTCTTCTAGACGTCCCAAAGCGCTTCACAGAATATACTGTAAAGTGGTTGACTGTACATTTGTGGGCGAACGCGGCAGCCAATTGCGCACAGCAATGTCCCACAAACAGTCATGGATTGAAAATGACCAATTTAATATTGGTTTTTTTTGGAGGAATTATTATTAGGCGTGTAGAAACTTCCCAAGGTTTCGCCCTGCTGGGAATTGAACCCAGGTCTCACACAGGTTCAGCCCATTCTCATGGTAACAGGTGATGAGCAAGAAGGAGGGGTAGAAGGGAGGGAGTTCCTGTGTTTAGGGGTGTAATTCCTGAAAGCTCAGTCACTGATGATGGTGTGGAGCAGGCCTGAGCTAACCAAGCGACAACAACAAAATTACATTGTCGAGAGGACGTCCCATGACACTAAACAGTTGGAGATCAGGATCCGAGGGTGGGAGGCAGGGTTGGGATGAGAGACAGGCAGAGCGGTAGGAAGGCGGCTGAAGGCACGGTCGAAAAGGAGGTTCTTGAGTCGTGCCTTGGAGGAGGCAAGGGAGGGAACAAGGCGAAGAGATTGTGGGATGGAGTTCCAAAGGGTGGGGGCAGAGAGGCTGAAAGCCCGGCCGCCAATGGAGCAGGCTGGAGGGAGGGGCAGGTTGACGCAGGTCAGAGAGATAGGAGGGGGCAACGCTGTGGAGGGCCTTGAAAGTGAAGTAGAAGAGTAAGACAGCAGAAAATCACAGAAATAGGGAGGTGCTAGGGGAGGAATAGATTTACAAGAGAGGGTGAGCTCCTTGAAGTCAATCTTTTGGGAAGATTGAAACCTGGTGAGTTTGTTGCAGCTGAGGATGCGGCAGCAGAGTTTTGTATCAGGTGGAGCTTATGGATGGTAGACCAGGGGAGGCCGGAGAGAAGTGTGTTTAAGAAGTCAAGTCGAGACATGAACGGTAGCGTTCAATGTGAGACAGGGACAGAGGCAGGCAATGTGATAAAGGTGAAGAAAAGTGGACCCTCCAAGGTTTTGCCCTGCCCAGGAATCAAACCCAGGTCCTCTCGCTTGGGAGGTGAGTGCTCTAACCAATATACTACTGGACTCCACAATGTAGAGTAAAGCACTCTTTTCTCTGTCCAATTACATCCTTCCAGGTCAGGTAAGCAGTGGCCTCTTTGGATGTTTAATTTTCCACAATTTCCCTTTTTCATCTCCTTTATCATGGATTATGCTATGTATAAATGCAAGTTGCTATTGTACTAAACACAAGTTATGTCTCCTTTAACAACTCAGAATAACTGACTCCTTTGAAGTTCATGGCTGCAGTCTTCGCCATTCTGCTTCCTGACTACCTCATTAATGTTCACTTTTAATATTGTGAGACAATTATCCCAAAGTACTTTCCTGCTTTCTACTTTGTACATTTTTTGTGTTTTAGATGCATTGCTCATTCTGCCTTTTCCATGCCCCTTTTTCAAGTACTGTCGTTGGGCAAAATCTGATCCAAATCCTAATCACATTATCTGGGAATTGTTTGATGTATTCAGATGGAAGATATAGATTGAGTTGAATTTCAGTCATGGCACAGTCAGGAGTTTACTGTTAGAAGGATTTGTCCTGTGCCTATCCTGGTTTAAGATGTAGTGGTGCAGGGTTGCCGCAAGGTAGCAATATAAATGGCTAAACAGAATGCTTAATGTGACCTAAGTCTCACTGAATACAGCCTAACTCACAAATTCCCAAGAAAGCAAGCAAGGTTTCAGAGTCACACAATTACCATGTTTGTATTTTGTGGAGACCTGTAGCTCAGTGGTTAGAGCATTCGTCTCGCCAAGCGAGAGGATCTGGGTTCGATTCCTGGCAGGCCGAAACATTGGGCAAGTTACCTTACTCCACACTCCTCTGTTTACCTAGCAGTAAGTAGGAACCCAGTTGTTAGTTAATTGGCAGATTGTTTTTCTGGGGGTAATAATTCCTTCAAAACTTAACTAATAATAAATTGATTACTTAATCCACGACTGTTTGTGGGGACGCTGCTGTTGTGCACAATTGGCTGCCACGTTTCTCCGACGATATATACAATCAATTCACTTTCCAGTATATTTTGTGAAGAGCTTTGAGACGTCTCGAAGATGTGATAAGGAGCTGTATCAAATGCAAGGAATATTATTATCATTATCATTTGTATTGATTTAGTAGTTTATACAATTATAGGATAAAGTACAATACTTCAGAGTGGTTAGAGCACCTGGGTTCGATGCCCGGGCAGGGCGAAACCTTAGGCAAGTTTTCTTACTCCACGTGCCCCTGTTTACCGAGCAATAAGTACGAACCTGGTTGTTAGTCGATTTGAGGATCACATACAACAACAACAACAACAACAAGATTCCATTTATAGAGCGCCTTTCACGTCAGGAGGACGTCCCAAGGCGCAGCACAGTTGGGTCATGACCCGAGCAGGGGGGAAATGGTCAGGGTGAGGGGAGGAAGGGAGGGAGAGAGGAGGGGGAAATGGTCAGGGTGAGGGGAGGGAAGGAGGGAGCGAGGAGGAGGAGGAAGAGAGTCGAGAGGGAGC